ATTAAAAATCAATTATTATCATAGACTGTCCTATTATCCTAGCTGCGGGCGGGCAAAAGTATAACATTGATATGAAGGAGTTGATGACGTGTCAAATTGACCAACCTTTTTTTGTCAAAATGGAACTTTAAAACTGTTAATACCGAACCAATGTTATTGATTATGTTTAAGAAAGAGTTACAGACAAAATAACAATAAGTGCCATTTCTTTCATTCGGATACAGTTTTTTTTCTGAAATATCAAATTAAATATGAATAAACGAATTGTCACTTCGGTTTCCGCTTTCCGGAATGGATCCTCATTTGTCCGGAGAGGACCTCTTAGTACTGGGTGGACCTCGTCAGTCGCGAGAGGGAACTGTCCGGCAGTATATTAAACTCCGGTAAAGTCACGAACTGTAAACTTCGGATAAAGTGTCCGACACTATAAACTCCAAATATGAGTTAGAAAGTCAGGATAAATAGTCCAGAACTTAAAAATCCACAAAAAATTTCCAAAATCTTCCAGATTAAAGGTTCAAAACAATAAAGTCCGGATAAAACGTCAGGGACTATGAATTCCAACTAAGATATCTAGAGTACTCAATGAAGCCCAGATAAATTTCCCTAAGCTATAAATTCCTGATAAAAATCCGGAACTATGAACTCCGAATAATATACATGGTGGTGGTTGGGAATAACAGACAAAGCATCTTAACATCTAGTCAAAGGGCAATATTAATCATGTAAGATCATAGGAGATACCTTAAAATATCTTACATGTTTTTGAGATGTCTCAATTTTCATAAGTTAACCTTGATAAGATATTTGATAAAATTTGTAGGATATCCCATAAAGATATACGATTACTTATATAATTTCTTTATAAGATATCTTATATATTATATATTCTAAATTTTCTATTTTTCATATCTTATACGATTTTATAGATGCTATCTACTGTATTACATATATCTAATAGGACATGTCATTCATTTATAAGATATATCATACAGAATAATTATTGTTCTTAATGAAACATCATATAGATCATCACGACCAATAATAATATATGAAATATCTTCTATATCATATAGGTCATCCTATACAGATAAAATTTAAGGTATCTTATGAAGTAATCAAGATATCATATATATTATATGATATATTTTATATTGAAAAGTGTATAAGGCATCCTACAAAGTAACCAAGGCACATGTTTGATATATAAGAGTATTTTTATAAGAGGATTGACGTGTGGTTTCGCTGTGGTGACACAGTTAAATACAAATATAGGTTAGCAGACAAGGTGACGTAGCTTTATGTGTACTTCAGCTATATTTAGATATTTATACCCGTCTGTTTCCTTTGTTGACTAGTTGTGGTTGAGGGCGGTCAGCCTTTTGATCTGACCAGGACAACGCTAAGATGATTATGGACCGCGACACACGTTCCGAGTAAAACAGGTCAATCGGAAATGTGTTATGTTTTTTCATGTACCGTGTCTTGAGATTTCTTAATTAGTTCAAATATAAAGTTTGTAAAAAGAGCACATATACATGAAAGTGCAAAAAAAAACTTAAGCAAAGTTTGCAAATAAAAAGGGTTGAATTGCCTCTAATCTCATTACAGGTTGTCTCTAAACCCATAACAGGTTGTCTCTTAACCCATAACAGGTGGTCTCTAAACCCATAACAGGTGGTCTCTAAACCCATAACATATTTTTCAAAACCCATGACAGGTTGTCTCTAAACCCATAACAAGTTGCCTCTTAACAAATACCAGGTTGTCTCTCAACCCATAACAGATGGTCTCTAAACCCATAACAAGCTGCCTCTTAATAAATAACAGATTGTCTCTAAACCCATAACAGGTTGTCTCTAAACCCATAACAGTTTCTCTTCACTCGTAACAGGTTGTCTCTAAACCCATAACAGTTTCTCTTAACCCATGACAGATTGTCTCTTAACTCGTATCAGATTGTCTCTAAACCCATAACAGGTTGTCTCTAAACCCATAACAGTTTCTCTTAACCCATAACAGTTTGTCTCTAAACACATAACAGGTTGTCTCTAAACCCATAACAGGTTGTCTCTAAACCCATAACAGGTTGTCTCTTAACTCGTAACAGGTTGTCTATAAACCTATAACAGGTTGCCTCTTAACCCATAACAGGTTGTCTCTAAACCCATAACAGGTTGTCTCTAGACCTATAACGAGTTGCCTCTTAACAAATAACAGGTGGTCTCTTAATAAAAAAAAAACACCACTAATTGCCTCCTAACCCATAACAGGTTGTCCCTACCTCCACAAGATTTGACATTTTAGCACACAAAAGGTGTACTCCTAGGCTACAGTGTGTGGTCTCTAACTTATACCAGGTGATCTCTTATTCAACAATAGATACTCTTTTAATCCATAATAGATGGTCTGTTAGTCCGCATCAGGTCGTCTCTAATCCTATAATAAATTGTTTCTTAACCCATAACAGGTTGTCCTCTTAACCAATAACAGGTTATCTCCTAAACCCTTATAACATATGATTTCTTAATACACAAGAGGTGGTCTCTTAACCCATATAAGAGTTGTACACTCAACTCATAACAGATGTACTCTTAACCACATCAGGTGTCTTTTAACCCATAACATTTGTACTCTTAACATATAACAGGTGCCCTTTTAAACTATGACATTTGTACTATTAACTCATAACAGGTGGTGTCTTAACTATAACAGTTGTTCTTTTAAATCACAACAGATGTACTCTTTACTATAACAGTTGTTCTCTTAAATCACAACATGTGTACTCTTAACTATAACAATTGTTCTCTTAAATCACAACAGATGTACACTTAACTATAACAGTTGTTCTCTTAAATCACAACATGTGTACTCTTAACTCGTAACAGTTGTACTCTTAACCTATAACCAGTTGAAGTATCTGGTCACCGAAAGTCACCCAATCAATTTCCCCCGCCCACTGAACCCATTCAAGTCTATATTCGCATGGACAGGTTGCGGTATCCCCATGTCAAGCGCTGACACCTCCGTCTGACTGGAGAGTCGGTGGTTCGATCCCCAGCGAATGTCCATCCTATTACATGGATACATGTAAAACTAATGGGTTTAAGGTACACCTAACCACGGTCACCTCAACTCGGACAGAACAATGGTCAACTCAAATCACATAGGAACGGAAGCAATTTTACTCGAAATGAAAAATGTATCCGTTCTCGTGCCATATAATTACAGCCGTTTGCGCGAACATGAAACCTATGTAAGGGTAAAAATGGTCGTCTACATCTCCACCCGACCTCGAGGCTAGATTCTAAATGCCCATTTCTACCGAGAATGATGTGCTTACTTGGCCTTTCAGAACGATTCTATAATAGTCTACATCTTCTTTAAAGCGATTAAACAAGTTTAAGACGCCGTAGTCCGTTGTTAATTTTATTTAAAACACATTTCCCTTCCATACCGGTGATTTTCCCAAATCTTCATACAATAGGTGTTTAAGGTGACCCCCAGATACTACACAGTCATAATTACTAATAGGACATTATGAACGCCGCTTTCTCGATATCTCTCTGTATATACCGACTGGGCTCTAGGGTAGATTTTCCCGACAACTTTATACCGGCCATTCATGATCAGCTTGTAGCGTGTTTGGTGGGAGTGGAAAGCCCCACTATTATCGAAACAATTAAGTCCCGGTTACGCTCCATTCACGATCTCTAGCCGGGCCATACGTTATAGACCATACCCCATATAAGATTGACAAGAGGGAGGCCGATAGTATTCTCCCCATCCATTTGACTGGGAGGATCTGAGATTTACCCTAGCCAGGAAATTGACTCGGGGATACAATATACAGTGTACTTTAGCTTTGGTTCTGGCTTTCGTTGTCAAGAATTGGAAGTGATGTTTAAACTTTTGGGATTTTAACGGATATTCCAAAACCAGTTTGTATGTTTCATTTATTTTGTTGTTGTCTATATTTATGTCTATTTTGCATTTTATTTGATCACGATATGTTTGATTTTATGGCATTTACCAAAATATATAAATATATACAACATCACAGTTTGTTTTGGTAGCTCCTATAGAAAAGCGCTGCGTATATAATTTCTTTGTTATATTTGAGGTGCAGGTTTTTTTATAACATTATTCTCTTCCTCTGAATATTACACCGTACAATATTGCTAGAAAACAACAAAAAATGCAATATATATAAAAGGTGCAAAAGCACGTGCCTCGGTGTAAACCCATCCAATCTGATTAATGATTATCTCTGACAGAACGGCATCAATATCCACCACTTGGAACAGAAATAGCGGTTCGGATGCCAGCGTGAAAAAAACCCCACAAGCTGGTAGTTCGAATATCGTACATTAAATTGTTTGTGGTTTATATATTACAGAGAGCTGCCCATGCTGTGAAATCGCCAGTTAACAAGATAAATTGGAACACAAGAAACCCACTTGGATCCAAGTCAACAATTGTAACCTTCAGTGCTATTCTATGGAGATTGTGCTGTCTGTGCACGATCGTACTTCCTTATATTTCAAAGTTCATCCGGTGAAATATTTTGATGCTCATTATGTGATTATTCAGGATATTCCCAGTGTTTGTATATAAAGGTTGGAGTAAACTACCTTTAAAGTTATTTATTTACCTTCTTCTGTTGCTGATTTGCAGGAAATCACCACATAGTATATGGATGGTATTCGAACCAACGAACCTCGTTAAAACCGGATCAGTGTTTCTCGTTAAAATATAGCATTGCAAGCTACACACACAAAAGGAAAAAAAACAAAAGCACGAATTATATTTCTGGAGGAACCATAAGAAGATTAAACTGGAGCGTTGACACCGTTTTAAAATTTAGACATGCGACGTTATGGTAATGTATGGGGTGCGAGAAAACTGCTGTGGCTGCTGTTATCTTGATGACGTCACAAAACCTAGGTGATCTATGTCTTTATGGTACGCGTCCGGGGGGTTCCGGGAGATGATTTAGTATGTTCCTTTTGACGTGTCTACTTGCGAGTCTTGTTGCTGAAGCCCTAACTTCCGCCATTGATCTGGATCCTTCCGCGGTCGAGACCGTTGGAGAGACTTCCCAAGGTAAAACAGGTAAGATGTGTTTATTTATCTACCCTCCTTTAGGCCTCCTCCTCCGTACCCCTGCCGTTTCCGTATGTTCGGAGATGCTGTGAGGTTAGCGTCTGTTTGCTCAGGGCTATTTTGACCGCCACCTTCAACGTTTTTCATGCTGTGCTTTTTGACCTTGTGAAAGTCACTTTTATATAAGGAAAAAACGAATCCCATTTATAAATTCGGACTTTGGCAGTTCAGAAAAAAAGTGCTGGTATAATTTTATGGAGTGATGATTCCCGTTATTAATCCTAAAATCTTCTTTATTTTCAGAAAAACCCCATAAAAATTAGTTTCGGACTACAACGTAAACGTACAGACTGAAATATTAATAATCTGGTCTGAAAAATTAATGTCTGTGCATGAACGTATTTCCTTAATCGTTAAGTTCTTGGCTGAAACATAAATGTCTGGACTGAAACATAAATGTCTGGACTGAAAATAGATGTTTGGACTGAAACATAAATGTCTGGACTGAAAATAGATGTCTGGATTGAAACATAAATGTCTGGACTGAAAATAGATGTCTGGATTGAAACATAATTATCCAAACTGAAGCATAAATGTCCGAACTGAAACATAAATGTCTATTTTGTTAGAAAACAAAAACAAAAAACACCATGTTCAATTCATATAATTCAAAAAATGGAATTATATCAATCGGGTTGTAATGAGACCTTGTAAACATGCTGTATTTGTGTCATTGAGATCCATTTCTATTTGTTTGTCTGCGGATCATTAGTCCGTTCGTCATGGTTTTCTTTTCAGTGTGACTTTTAGTTTGTTACATGTTATTACATATAATTTATTGTTTTAATGTACAATTCCAGTTCGTTTTAATGCCTTATACTGTATCGATGATGACGCACCCTGCATACATAAACCATTACTATTTAGACCAAACTAAGTTGAAAAGCGTAATCTTTAACTTTTTGAAAATTTAACATTTAATTGAGGTTATAATCCTATTCACTAAGGACGTACTTTTCAACTTGCTTTTTGTTTCTTCTAGATCGTCTTTTAAACAAACTTGGAAAATACGAAATGGTTATACCCGTGCTGGTCGACGAGACGGGCAGGTTCCTTAGTTACAACGTCAAACACAAACGACCGAGTCGCCGGAAGCGACGTAGTGCCGACCACAGTCAGGGACCATCGGAAAAAGAACCCATCAGAAAAATATTCTATAAATTATCTGCGTTTGGAAAAGAATTTCATTTTGATCTCAAATTAAACGATAAACTTTTATCGACCGTATACAAAGCGGAAGTGTGGACGAAAGACGGACAGCGAAATGTTGTAAACCGGAAGCGGAACTGCCATTATGTTGGCTACAGCCGTGAACCTTTTACTTCTATCGCCGCCATAAGTAACTGTTTCGGACTGGTAAGTGTATGCATGTCGACTGTTTTATAAACAATTGTATGTCTTATAAGAAAATCCAAGTCTTATACCACACATTGCATATAACGTTTCAAAAATGTTAATTTAACCGGAAAGGATATGTCAATCCAGAAATACATACCGGACCAAGTGTTTGCTAACGAACGAGGCTTGACTAAGTTACTTTTAGTAGGTGGGATATGTTTTGTAAGCTGATACTATTTTAGGGTGAAGGTCATAATGACACAAATTGATAAGAAATCGCGTTGATAAGGTACTCTCCTTGAAACATATAAACCATACTGGTAGAAACTGTTTCTGTTGCTATGTTAAGTAAATTTTCCTGAATATTGCTAGAAACCTTTATACTGGGAGAAACAGTCTCTATGAATGTGAGAAACAGTTTCTATGAATGGGGGAAACAGTTTCTATGAATGTGGGAAACAGTTTCTATGAATGTGAGAAATAGTTTCTATGAATGTGAGAAACAGTTTCTATGAATGTGAGAAATAGTTTCTATGAATGTGAGAAACAATTTCTATGAATGTGAGAAACAGTTTCTATGAATGTGAGAAACTGTTTCTATACAGTCGATTCACTTCTTACAACAAGACAGATAACAGCTGTGGGAGAAACAGATTCTATGATTCTTTTAATATATACTTTACAAAACAAATTCAGTAGCAGTACTTGGAGAAAGAGTTTACAATCTTTAATAGTTTCCCGGCTGTCCTATTCAAAGAACACGGAATATTAAGAAAACATTTGCTCCCTGTTGTTGATGAATGTACGATAGTTTTTGAACGAATCCTATCTAAAACCAGGTTCATGTGCTGATATAGCTAAATCACACGAGACCTGTATCAACTGCTAGAAATCGTCAGACTGGAATTCTTTGACCGGAGCAGGACGAGCTCTTCTCGGTGCGAAAACCCGAAAAAATCTTCCACAGATGTAGATTAGGTACAAGACAGCGGTATTCATCGAGTGATTAAATCTCGTCTGTTATTGTTCGGGGTTTAAAAATAAAAAAAAGTTTAACTTTCTACAACATCGCGGTTTGGCTATAACAGGCAGAATTGGGCCAAGGTTGGTTTAGGATGTGTTGCTCGTACAATATTAGAAGCCCGTCTGCCGTTAATCATAAATTCGGGAGTATAGGAAGAAGGGAAGAGGAGGGGGAAATTCCATTTTGTTTTATCAAAGCTATCCCTACAGTTATTTATGATTGACAGAAAACATCTGCAAGGCACTAATCGGTTTGATATGGCGATTTGGGGGAAAAGCGATGGGGAGGGGAACGGATAGGATGAGGAGGAGCAGAGGAGAATGAGAGTTAAGGGAGGGGGGACGGGGACTACACACACCCTGGTGCAGATTGTAGTTGTTATTAGTACCAACGCTGGGGGAATGCTGAATGCATTGTATCTGATATACACGTACTTTAGGGGGTGGGGGTTAGAAGAGATAGAGATGAGATTTCAAGATAAAAATATTGGAATTTTATGGTATAGCGTGGTTTGTCTAGATCAAATATCTGTGATGTTGTTCATATTTCCATCAACACACAAATGGAAATAATTTTGAAAATTAGGAACGAATGGTATTTAGCGAACAGTCGCTATAGCAACATAGAGAAATATGGCTAATTGAAACTTGTATCTAGAAAGAGTTAAAACGCCCGCAGTAGAAGGTTCACGGTCTCGTACCCATTTTAACCCGCAAATAGAGGGTACACATTATCGTACCCATTTTAACCCGCAAATAGAGGGTACACATTATCGTACCCATTTTAACCCGCAAATAGAGGGTACACATTTTCGTACCCATTTTAACCCGCAAATAGAGGGTACACATCCTCGTACCCATTTTAACCCGCAAATAGAGGGTACACATTATCGTACCCATTTTAACCCGCAAATAGAGGGTACACATTATCGTACCCATTTTTACCCGCAAATAGAGGGTACACATTATCGTACCTATTCCAATTTTTTTTACATTGTAACCCGCACATGTGGGCACACGATCTCTTACCCAAGGAAACCCTCAAATGTGGGTACAAGAAAGAACCCATCAGAACCCTCAATAGAGTGTCTCGTCTCCATGGTAACCCTTAAATATAGGTACGAGAAAGTACCCATACTAACCCTAAATAGATCTCGCCCCCATAAGTATCCCTCAATAAAGTGTACACGATCTCATCCCTATATGGTAACCCTTCGATGTGCGTACAAGAAAGTAACCATTGTTATCTTCAATATAGGGTACACGATCTCGTAAACATTATAACCCTCAATAGAGGGTACACAATCTCGTACCCGTTGTAATATCCAGTGTTGGCGGTATACAGATACAATTATTTTTCCGCGGTGTGAGATATAGAGTCAATCCCATTGTTTTCGGATTAGCTTCGAAATTCAAACGTGTTACTCGATTGTAAGCTGCTCATGGGAAATGCGATTTACATTCGTGGATGCCGTGACCTTTTTGTTTCTAAATGTGGTATTTAACATAAGCCCCTACGTCCTACAAATCAATGCGCACGTGAACTGTTTATTTCACAATCTAGTTTGCATTTTATCTAATCGAATTAACCGCATAATTAGCATGACAGGTTAACGTTACGAAATATGAATGTAATTATTTAGGATGTTATCACTCAAAGTGAAGGACTTCGTCTTGTTAAGTTAAGAGCCTATCTTATACCAGAAACATTATCTTTAACAAACTTATCGCACCGTTTTTCCTAAAACCAACGGGATCCATTTTTAATTGATTTTGTATGTTATGATATCGCTTGGTACTAAATAATGGTACAATACTGAGACAAACCGAAAAAAGTTTATCAGGAGTACATGCCAACTGGAACCAGCTTACATATTGTATTTTAATGAGGTGCACTTCAAATAAAACTGTAGGTAATCGCATATGTAATGGTAAATTCTAACTGTCAGTTAAATAATAGAAATGATGACCTAATAGATATTTTGTATTCCGGAAATTAACATCCGGAATACAGGCTCGGAATTTACAATTTTTCTCTAATGGTTGATGATGTCATCTCGATACAAATATCGAGGTTTTGGTGGCGGTACGCGCCTTTGTCCACACTATACCAGGAGGTTGCTATAACTTATGTTTTGACACATCCGCCATGTGATCATGATGTGGTTTACGAGACAGTTTTGTCACACTCGTCATTAGAATTTATAGGAAATGCCTATACATATGACTATGTGATGAATTTGGGTACACCTGTCTGAACACCAGACTATAAAACAAACAAACAAACAAACGAATCTAGTATGCTATTTGTTACTATTGGGAAACAAGTACAGGTACACATACCAAGTCGTCTGATTTTGTTGTTTATAGATTTCAAATACTTACATGTACACATGCATATTTAACAAAAGCAATGGCGGGACATGTAAAATACTAGCAAAGTATCAAAATACTCTATTAATTATTAGTTTGTAGTCGGTTGTAGTTTAGCATACTTAACTAATACCTCACTAAATACATTTCTTTATTAACAAATCCAGTACAAGGAAAATATATAATTGCGTTAAAATGACTTTCAGATGAACACACGAACAATAAATAAAGGAGGTAGTGCCACTCTGATCAAAGGAGGACACTACTGCAGTATATAGATATCTAGTTACCCTTTGTTAAAAGCAAAGAGATCTCAAGATAACTTTTCTATAATAATCTTAACAACAGATAATGACATTCATCATATCTACATATTTTTTTGCTTTATTTTTTCGTCTTTAAAATTCACACGAAGAACAACCATTCGTGTAAAAATGGCATCGAAAGAATAATTTATTTATGACTTGACCGTGTTGTGAAAAATGAAGCTATTGTAAATGAACGTGAAACTAGTTTCAAATATAACTGCCCTAGTATAGATTGGAACGAGATTCCGTGCTCAGATATTATAACAGAACTAGGTCAAAATTCTTCGGGATGAAACGTACTGCAAAGTCATGGTCAGTATTAAATAGTTCCGAACGTATATTAATAGCACTGACCAGTCCAATCCCGTGTGGAACACCTCGATAGCTTATCACAATCACGCGATAACTTATCACAATCACGCGATAACTTATCACAGTCACACCAGCTCAATTACATACTTATCAGCCCTAGGAAGTTCTCATTTCGTTTCATATTTCACTAAATCATTAGTGACGTTTTACTATGTATAGGGTGGTGGGTATAGAATTACCACAACATGTACAATCTAAATACCGCTAACAATGCTCGCCCGAACACAGCGTTCCCTAGTTCACATCTGAAAGTCTATTGTTAATCAACGAAAAAGCAACGGTATTTCTTTATGATGTATGACGCTTTTATGGGGAAATTTCGTGTAAAAATGGCATACATAATCTTATAAACGTTTGTGAAAGATCAGTAAGCTGTTTCAGACTCGATAACTACACAATTTTATTAGGGTTTTAATTCTGACTGTTAAATTTTGTGACATTTAATTACGCCTGAGGAACAAGCGAGGTTGACATGAAATTTATAGCGTAAGGCGTATCGTATAGAGTCTCGTGGCATTTAGGTATTTAAAAAGTTTAAAGAAAAGTCAGATCCTTTGATGTAACGGTTTAAAAAAAACATTTTTCAAAGTGTGTTTAGCGGTCAAAGTATTTCGTAATGCATAGCTACATGTAACACTATTTATGAACACTTATAAGCATCTCTAGCACAGTGTAACACGTAACGTCCCAGACACGATTTGTATTGTGAAATCACAGCACAGCAACCTTTTCCAATCCGTGCTTGACTTCCCCATTCACATATTCGAATTTTATTTACGAGAATCATAATCACGCAATCGATAGAAATATATCAACATGTTAACTAGGAAATGATTTAATGACTACTGCAAACCATTTATATTGATGAGAATGTCAAACGCGAAACATATATAAAATGACGGATTTTGTGACGCAAACCTTGAGTTAAGTAGTTTGATATGATGTCGAAATACTCTGGAGTCGGCTTAGACAGGGGTATCGGAAAATTCAGTTTATGGTCGGATTAGACAGGATATGATTATCGGAATATTCAGTGAGTATGTCGAAATACTCTAGAGTCGGCTCAGACAGGGATATCGGAATATTCCTGAGAAGTTTGAGTCGAAATGTCGGAATAAGCCATGATGGGTCGAATTAAACATGTGTCGGAATAAGCATGGGTCGAATAAGACTGGTTACTGGAATAAGCATTTGTCGAATAAGACTGCGTATCGAAATTAGCATTTGTCGAATAAGACTGCCTATCGAAATTAGCATTTGTCGAATAAGACTGGGTATCGAAATAAACATGGGTCAAATGAGACTATATATCGAAATAAACATGGGTTTATTAAGATTGGGTATCGAATATCGAAATATTCAGTTCATTGTCGGATTAGACAGGATATCGGAATATTCAGTGAGTATGGGGATTAGATAGGATTTCGAAATAAGAAGGGGTCGGATTACAAAGGGTGTCGGTAAACTCATAGGCCTAATACCGACGATACTAGATTTGATGTGGTAGACCTTCTGGTATGTAGGAAGTTTTATAAGATGTTTATCTGGTTTATATCCAATCTATATACCCAATTAAACTCCCACCAGTACATATCAGCATAGTTCCAAACATACAAAATGTAAGGAATTTTCTAGTCTCTGCATATCATCCTAGCATCAGACGTTGAGGTTTTTTCTCTGAATGTTTACCAGCACGGCGTGTTCCAGACGAACGAGGAGGACTTCTTTGTGGAGCCGTTGTGGAACCAGACCGGAAAGACCACCACATTCGGACACCCACATGTGGTGTACAAGAGATCGGACATCCGGTTAGCACACGAACACAGTACTGACGACTGTGGTGTCACAGGTAATGTATATCGCCTTGTTTTAAATGTGCAATTTCGTTATCTACTTTTATATGTATTAAATTGATTTCTCCATACAAAAAAAAAAAGATCGTTGATTGTGCAATTTCGTTATCCACTTTTATAAGTATTAAATTGATTTCTCCATACCAAAAAAAAATATTTTTTGTTATGACATCATTTTCTCTCTTTTTTTGTCTGTTTCAGATTTTCAGCAATTTATTCATCAAATCCCTCTTAATCAAAATATACATCAAACTAACAATAAAACAAAACAATATCGATCTTCTAATCAAAGAAAACGACGAAAACCAGAACAACATCATATAGGATTTTCGCAAAGGCCTAAATATAAAATTTCACTGCGAGATGAGTACAGGAACCGGAAGCGGCGCTCTGTGATGAGCGAAGAGAAGAATGTTGAGACAATTGTGGTTGCAGACAGAATGATGGTACAGTACCACGGGAAGAAAATAATAGAATCCTACGTTCTCTCCATCATGAACGTTGTAAGTGTCTTTTTCCAGATCGTGTACATGTGAGAAACCCCCCTTTTTATTCTTAATGGTATATGTTACCTTACTCAAATCTCCATTGCAGGAGAGTTCCATATTTTTTGTAAAAAGTCCATTTAATTGGTATAAATAGGTTCGATAACGTGGTTCACTGAAAGGTACAAGTCTATTTACTTGGTAACACATATGAAAAACACACGAGAGTTTATTTTGGTTTGGGTTTATTTTGTTTAACGTCCTTTTAACTGCTAAGGCCATTTAAGGACGTGTCATATGTGTTTTGTGTATGTGTGCATGTGTGTTTATGTGCTGGAGGCAGGGTATGTTAGTATACTTGCCTCCTATGATAGCGCGGATCTGATGCCGACTTTATAGTGCTATCTCACTGAAATACCATGCCAAAGGCACTTAGCACAGCATTCCGCCCGAACACATTATACTGACAACGGGTGAACCAGTTGTTGCCATTACCCCAATATCCTGAACGTTAAGCGGGGAACACACAAGATAACACGCATTGAAAAGATTCCTGTGATTATGAGTTATTATGTAATGAAAATGAAAAATATACCTGGGTGAAATGTGCGTGGTAGCATATATCCTTATGTCAATTTTTCTGTCATTCAAGCTAAACAAAACTCGTGTACTTCTGACGTATACTCTTTTTCCCCCACGATGAAGATGGAGCTATAAGTCATATTATCAGCAGAAACATTTAGTTCTGTGAAATGGTAACAGGGAGCTTTACCATCACCTTAAAACTACCGGTGCGTTTAAACTCAAGACTGTTATACCTATCACCTTAATATTACCTATGTGTTCATACCTGAGTCTGTTACACCTAAAGCTACCTACATGTTGATACCCGAGTCTGTTACGCCTAAAGAAACCTATATGTTTATACCTTAGCCTGTTACACCTAAAGCTACCTATATGTTCCTACCCGAGTCTGTTACGCCTAAAGAAACTTATGTGTTCATACCTGAGCCTGTTACACCTAAAGCTACCTACATGTTCATACCCGAGTCTGTTACGCCTAAAGAAACCTATATGTTTATACCTAAGCCTGTTACACCTAAAGCTACCTATATGTTCATACCCGAGTCTGTTACGCCTAAAGAAACTTATGTGTTCATACCTGAGCCTGTTACACCTAAAGCTACCTATATGTTTATCCCTGAGTCTGTTACACCTAAAGCTACCTACATGCTTATACCTGAGTCTGTTACACCTAAAGCGACCTATGTGTTTATACCTGAGTCTGGTTTACCTAAAGCTACATGTGTGTTTATACCTGAGTCTGTTACACCTAAAGTTACCAATGTGTTTATACCTGAGTCTGTTACACCTAAAGTTACCAATGTGTTTATACCTGAGTCTGTTACACCTAAAGCGACCTATATGTTTATACCTGAGTCTGTTACACCTAAAGCTACCTACATGTTCATACCCGAGTCTGTTACACCTAAAGCTACCTATGTGTTCATCCCTGAGCCTGTTACACCTAAAGCTACCTATATGTTTATACCTGAGTCTGTTACACATAAAGCTAAATATGTGTTTATACCTGAGCCTGTTACACCTAAAGCTACCTATGTGGTTATACCTGAGCCTGTTACACCTAAAGCTACCTATGTGGTTATACCTGAGCCTGTTACACCTAAAGCTACCTATGTGGTTATACCTGAGCCTGTTACACCTAAAGCTACCTATATGTTTATACCTGAGACTGTTACACATAAAGCTAAATATGTGTTTATACCTGAGCCTGTTACACCTAAAGCTACCTATGTGTTCATACCTGAGTCTGTTACACCTAAAGCTACCTACATGTTCATACCCGAGTCTGTTACACCTAAAGCTACCTTCATGTTCATACCCGAGTCTGTTACACCTAAAGCTTCCTATGTGTTCATACCTGAGCCTGTTACACCTAAAGCTACCTATATGTTTATACCTGAGCCTGTTACACCTAAAGCTACCTATGTGTTCATACCTGAGCCTGTTACACCTAAAGCTACCTATATGTTTATACCTGAGTCTGTTACACCTAAAGCTACCTACATGTTTATACCTGAGTCTGTTACACCTAAAGCGACCTATGTGTTTATACCTGAGTCTGGTTTACCTAAAGCTACCTGTGTGTTTATACCTGAGTCTGTTACACCTAAAGTTACCTATATGTTTATACCTGAGCCTGTTACACCTAAAGCTACCTAGGTGTTCATACCTGAGCCTGTTGCACCTAAAGCTACCTCCATGTTTATACCTGAGCCGGTTACACCTAAAGCTACCTAGGTGTTCATACCTGAGTCTGTTTCACCTAAAGCTACCTTCATGTTCATACCCGAGTCTGTTACACCTAAAGCGACCTATGGGTTTATACCTGAGTCTGGTTTACCTAAAGCTACCAATGTGTTTATACTTGAGTCTGGTTTACCTAAAGCTACCAATGTGTTTATACCTGATCCTGTTACACCTAAAGCTTCCTATGTGTTTATACGTGAGCCTGTTACACCTAAAGCTACCTATGTGTTTATACCTGAGTCTGTTACACATAAAGCTACCTATATGTTTATACCTTAGTCTGTTTCACCTAAATCTACCTATGTGTTTATACCTGAGCCTGTTACACCTAAAGCTACCTATATGTTTATACCTTAGTCTGTTTCACCTAAATCTACCTATGTGTTTATACCTGAGTCTGTTACACCTAAAGCGACCTATGTGTTTATACCTGAGTCTGTTACACATAAAGCTACCTGTATGTTTATACCTGAGTCTGTTACACCTAAAGCTACCTATATGTTTATACCTGAGTTTGTTACACCTAAAGCTACCTATGTGTTTATACTTGAGTCTGGTTTACCTAAAGCTACCAATGTGTTTATACCTGAGTTTGTTATACCTTTAGATTAACTATGTGTTTATACTTGAGTCTGGTTTACCTAAAGCTACCAATGTGTTTATACCTGAGTTTGTTATACCTTTAGATTAACTATGTGTTTATACTTGAGTCTGTTTTACCTATCACCTTAAGATTACCTATGTGTTTATACTTGAGGTCAGGTTGCCCAGCTCTTCCATGATGCCAGTATCGGAAATGCAATTAACATCGTGGTCAGTCGACTGGTCATCCTGGAGAAGGACCAGGTAAGACATAAGTGCAACATGTGGTTCCAGATATACCTTTATAAGTGCAATATGTGGTGCCGGATATGCTACATATGGGATCGTATATACTAATTGGAGATTACACCTACTCTAGGTTCATGTTCGAATCATGTTGCCCTCCCATTCATTTTGGCGTATCATCGACACGTTTCCATTGTGTTGCTTTTGAGACCGGTGTACGAATTTCAGACGAAGACATGTTTTTACAATGATAACTTCACATCTGACCTTATTTAATAGCATTGGTCTTGTAGGAGAACCTGACCTTGAACTATCATGCTGATCGCTCATTGGACAGTTTCTGTCGATGGCAGAATATGCTCAACCTGACAGCTGACGAGATGGGGACCGCTCATCACGACAATGCTGTTCTTCTAACAGGGTAGGGCGTACTGCTTCTTGAAAATAATAATCATGTAGAGAAAAGAAATGAATAGTTCCATGTAATGCAGAGTATATACTGCTTTTTGTTTGTTGATATTGTACCCGAAAGGTGTATTCATCCAGAATAGTTTCATTTGGGGCTATGTGAGAGATCTCAATCAGAAGAGTTTGGCATCATAAAAAAGATAAATTAAAAAACAAATACAAGATTAAAAAAATAATAGTAAGCATTTAAGTATACATATATGATAAATAATTATTGAGGCGATATCTTCACTGGTTACCTGTGTGTTTCTTTTGATTACAGGTACGATATATGTACGTACCAGAACAGTCCATGTGGAACACTGGGTATGTATGCGTTAATTTCATATAATATCTGATAGACAAGGCAGAACTAAACGTATCAATTATATTGATTCTATTTCTGTGTTTAACTGATAAATATTTAGTGTTTCTTGAACCACAATGAGAAAAGGAAAGAGACCACAGTGGTTTTTTGTTTTTTTATCTTACACAAAGTTAGTTTTTCACTGTCGATAATTCTCAATTTGTATAATTAATTTTAAGTCATGAAATGTTGTGTTTGAATGTTCCTTTGATAAAAAAAAAAGGAAATCATGAAATATGTAGATTTACGTTGAGTATTGAATTTGGATGTTTTCTTAGTAATTGACAATATGATAAGTTTGTACTTACACACTGCAGGGCTGGCTCCAGTAGCTGGGATGTGTAACGAAGACAGAAGCTGCAGCATCAACGAAGACATCGGGCTGGCGTCAGCGTTTACTGTAGCACATGAAATAGGCCATAAGTATGTGTATGTCTGTGCTCTCGTTTATTTTCCGAAAATATCCCAAGAAAAACTTACATTGTAATTTTTTTGTTGTTAGTGGTGAGGACGTGTTTTCACGTCGATAAGCTTTTCTCTTCAACTATAATTTCAAAAATCAAATCGAGGTACGGGTTTTAGACAAGGTGCTCGCCCGAGTCTCCTAATACTTGTTGATATTTTGAAGAATAACATATTGAAGTATTCAGTCATCATATGTATATGATGAACGATAATTACAACATTACAAGTTAAATTCTTCATAAATGAAAACCATCAATAATCATAACAACGGTATAATAAAACCTGTTCACGAAAACGTGATATTGATGAAGATTTAGAAGTTGTTTGAGAGATCACTTTGCAAATATTATAGAAACTTTCCTGTATGAAACCGGTGGGCGTGAATAATAATGAGAAAAATTATAGATAAGGAAAAACCCGTCATACTTTGTGATCAAATGGTATACCTTTGCTCTTTTAGCTTTGGGATGCAGCATGACGGCGCTGGAAACAGATGTGGTACCGTCGGGTCAAACGAAATGGCCGGAATCATGGCGGCACAGCTGACCAAAGACACTCAGCCCTTCAACTGGTCATCATGTAGCCGGACCTATATCACAGAGTTCTTAGAGTGAGTAGTGGAAGGGCTTAACCAATTATACGTTATTGGGTTCTAAAACAGGAAGAATAGAAATACTCAATTATCTGAATTATAAATTAGTTCATTAACGTCCGGGAAACAAAATGTCAAATTGTCGGGAAACTTGATTAGCGTCGTTCTGTTGCTATTAAGGTAGTTCTTCAAGTAAAGTTATGGTAGGTCTGCAGGTAAACATAGATTATGTCTGTAAGTAAAATTAGGGCAATTGAAAGTTTGAACTAGGAAAGATACGAACGTAAAACAAGGGAAAGTCTCTAAACTAGGGTAAGGATGGTGCAACGTAATCAAAACAGGATGCTTTCCTTTTGCTTTGCCCCCAAACAGTTCAATGAAAACAAAAAATGTACCTATCTGTAACAAAAGTCTACCTGTTTGTTTCCTGCAGTTCTGACAAAGGACTTTGCCTGATCAACACACCTTCGGAACAGCTCCTCGTGCAGCCCCAGTTCCGACGCTTCCCGCCTCAGCAGATTAACTCGGACGAGCAGTGTGTACTACAGTTCGGGGAAGCCTCCAGCATGTGTAAACCAGGGGTAAATATTGTTTTATCGTACAGGTGATTGTCAACGAGGATAGTCTGTTGTTGTTGTTGTTGTTATTGTTAGTGATGGTGGTGGGTGTTTTTTTCCCTTTTTTTCCATGTCTATTTCTACCACATTCCAAAACACATAATCTAAATTATCTGTTTTTATTTCGATTTTCATACGGAATAAAACATTTGTTTCGCTTACTTCCAAAACTATCCAATTTTAAGACATCTCGCGTTGTGTAAACAGTTTTTATATTGGTTAAAAGGGGGACGAATACTAATAACATAATCTAAGTATGATAATATGATAAATAACTTACTGTAGATGACTAACGTTTTTCGAATATTCGCAAGAACGTTTATTCCAATTGTAATAAATGTGTTTAAATATCTGAACGTTTTACTATCGGAATTCGCGATAAATTGTTATACGCCAATTTACGCCGCGTAAATAAATTCATGTACACTAAACATAAAAAAATAACCGTAGGTATAGCCAAATCAACACATTTAAAAGACTATTTACTTAGTGTGGGGACGTCTTCCACAAGATACCATATCACTATGTCTCTTGATATTGATCTGTTTCCGGAACCACAGGAGGTGTGCCAAGAACTGTGGTGTATAAACAAGCACGGCCAGTGTACGACAAACAGTATCCCCGCGGCTGAGGGAACGGTCTGTCCACTGGACACTGGTCAGCAAGGGGTAGGTAACTCTTATTATTATACCTTATCTAAATAACATCTTGTCTGATTGGATTATAAATGTTAATCACATTTCGGTGAAATAAAGTATCGTATTCTCTAAACGCATTCGAGTTTTCCGTCCACATTTTCCTTACGCGGAACCTCTATAAAGAAATGAACAAGATGCACCACACCCGAGTTCCGAGTTCCGAGTGACTGAAGCGGGACGACAACAGTGGCGTGGAAGTGTGATCATCATCCTCTTGTGGTTTCCCTCTATTTTGGTTCAGAACATATTTATTGCCCTCGTGAAATACGATAAACATCGAGAAAACAAAGAATCGGGTTTCCCAAGAACAAGGGCAAAAATATAAAATAACTTTTATATTAAAAACTGTTATTTATTTTATTCTAGTAGCTTCAACATTAAGAAGCGTAATACAAAAGTCTAATTCTAGTTTTAAGGCTGATACCATCATGGTGATAACATGTGATTAATTTTATTACAGTGGTGTTACCGAGGGCTTTGTCGGGAGCCCCACTACCGCCCGGAGCCACAGGACGGAGACTGGGGTATGTGGTCCGAATGGGACGTCTGTACGCGCACGTGCGGTGTCGGCGTGGAGTCCAGCTTCCGAAGATGTGATGCCCCTGAGTAAGTGTTATCTACATGGCGACGTTATTATCCAAAACAAGTTATATTGCTCTTACTTTCGCTTTCCATGTAACCAGTACAAATGCATGTAGTAAGTGATGAGAAATAATGCAATTTGTCTTACCAACGATAATTCGCGCTCTTTTTTTACAGCGAAGTACTGACAAAAATAATGAGATTGTTTGACATCCGCAACAGCCCAATTTGCTTGACATCATTAAAATTCATGACGATGAATGGTTGCTACGGTGGGTGGATAAAGAAAGAATAATATTTATTTTTATTTTATTGTAATTTAACATAAAAACTAGAAAAACAAACTCAAACAATTGTCCCGTTGGCTTGTAGACCCCGGCATGGCGGGAAGTATTGTGTAGGAGAGCGGAAGCGCTATAGGTCGTGTAACATCCAGTCGTGTCCGGACAATGTTAAAGATTTCCGGGAACTGCAATGCGCGGATTACGACACAAAACCATTCAGGGGAAGGTACTACAACTGGAAACCGTTCTCAGGAGGTAAGTGCAAGTAACAATATCTCACTTTACAATGTATTATCAGAGATAGCCTTTTGGGCAAGAAGGCTGAAAATCAGATTTATTAATAAGTTTTATGTGGGGGAAAATTTACATTTAAATGTACACTTAAATTCTGAAAAAAAGCTGATCATCTCTTACTGCTTTTATGAACTAGAGTTACCTCCCTTTAAACATGTTATCAATGTATTCATGTACTATTTGTCCAATTCCATTTGGTCATGGAAGTTTTTTTGAATGAAGATATATGTCTTGTAAGGATGCATATACATGTATCCTTAAATGCTTGTAACGATTGTTTATTTCAACTTAAAGACTTAATTATCAAACTTAACATTCTGTCCGTTTCAGCCCACAATAGACCATGTGCATTGAATTGTATAGCGGAGGGATACAATTTTTACACAGAACGTGCGCGGAAGGTTATAGATGGCACCAAGTGTTATCCAGACAAGATGGACCTCTGTATAAATGGCCGATGTTTGGTAAGGACATGTTCAACCTAATGTAATGTAGTTATTTATTGAAAAGATATGGAATCAAAACCACACCTTGTCGAATCATTTTGATAATTACTTCCAAATGTTCATTAAAAATGTACGCAATTTTGACCGTCATTTCACTACATAGATCCTACATCAGATAAAGAAAAATTTCATTGCAAAATTTGACATAAGCTTGTATCGAAAATTATGGAAATATATTGTGACAAGGGCAGTAACTCTTCCAATTGTAAGACGAATTATTTCCCTTGACTTCATATTCACTTGCAGTATCAGTACACTTGAAATGAGAATGCTTTTAGGAAAATGTGTATTTATGTGCTACCTTACCGGAACATGCTTTTCGTCTCAAAGGAGTTCAAACTCAGAAACCTTTAAATGATAATTAAGGCTCAATTGATCAAAGACCATTTAAAATGTAAAAATAAGATCCTCTGAACTCTTCCATTTGGCCAAACAGCTACTAATATAAGTTAGAATTTGTTTTTCTCATAATTGTTGCTAACTGAATAAAGATTATATAGTTAAAATGTAAAATTTTATGAATGGTAAGATGATGTTTACGATGACAAAATTCGAAGGGAGATAATTATTAATTTAATAACTCAAAAACAACTAGAATTCAACAGTTCTAGCACTGCCCAACCATGTACTCATTTACAGCTGAGTAGACTGGAATAAGCGGAGTAAAGTATCTTGCTCAAAGATACAACAAAGGGCCGTGCCGTGACTAGAACCAGCAACCCTTCGGTCACGAGCCCGGTGTCCTACCACTAGACTACTGTCTATATAATACCTGACCATTTAAAGACATGATTTAAGTGAATATATTCATCAAACTACGAATTAGATCACTAACAGAAATGTTTGCATTAATAGTACGATTATTTTTACCAACTTTATTTGTTTAATCGATAATTTCTTTAATGTTCAAAATATTTTTGAAAGGAAATTGCCATGGTTCTCCGTATATATTCCACTCATCTGAAATATCTTTTGGTTAGGTCCATGTTTATAAAATTCTGTTGCTGATAATATGTTATGCATAAAACAAACACTGACAAATTTAGAAAACTCGAAAGGAAACTTTCATGAGCATTCCTGTTACAGCCGGTGGGATGCGATGGTATTCTGGAGTCCAATGCTACAGAAGACAACTGCCGGAAGTGTAATGGCGATGGCTCAACCTGTCAGACGATCTCCGGCCAGTTCGACAAACAGCTCCAAAAGGGTTGTAAGTGTCATTTAATTAGCAACACATCCCTTAAAACATTTTACCGAACAACCTTTTGTTTTTTCGTTTCCAATCCCATTAACAAGAAAGACCAATTTTATTTTAAATGGATAAGTTTGAATATCAGAACATACTTTTGGGAAGGTAATTTTTTAACCTCTAAGCTTGCTTTCCTCTTAAATCGTATGCACATTTATGTTATACATTTGTCACATTGGTAAAATACTAACCGATTCCTACCGACTCGACAAGACAGGATTTTCATTTGCTCATTCAGATAATCGTTAGAGAAGTAAGCAAGAGTTCCCGGGTTCGTTCCCTGGCGGAGGCAATGGCAAATAATAACGGGTTTTCTGGATTAAGTAGTGGTATTATTAATCATTATATGGTTTAGGGTTTACACAAGAACCTTTTGTCGAGATTCCACCTATTTGATTTCTGTTAGAGAAACTTTTATTACTTAAAATTAACTTGAACTTGCAGCCTACCATGAGATGGTTAGGATTCCTAGAGGAGCGGTACATATAACGGTGAGGGAGACAACGGAATCTATCAACTACTTAGGTAAGGTTACCCCCGTCCGGTATAATTGCAGGAAGTGGCTGTTGTTAAACCCCTGTATACTCGTTGGTACTTCCATACCGTGCTGATTATATTTGTTTCTTTGTTGACGCTGTAGTACATGTGATATATTTCAGTTACGGGAGCCTTTAAAAAAGCATATTTCCTTCTGAAGTCATTTTTATACTCGAGAAAAACAATGATTTAATATCTTTCCTTTTCTACGACTTTTTTTTATCAATAAAGTGTTTCATAGTATATCCATTTTTCTACATCAATACTAAAGGGTTACGCTCACTAACGAACTCTGCAACCCTGGAAGATGTCATAGCAAAATTGAAAAACAAATCAGCTAGCTATTTGATTGGTCTGAGGCAATCATCTGATATACATTGAAGAACACAACTAGTCTTCTTGTCTTATCCAAACGGTTGCGCACCATAAAACCTTCATTATGTCATGACATGTTCCAGGGATGTGGGGAGCGTTAGTGAGCGTAACCGCTGGAGTGTTGAGAATGCATTTGCTATCGTGTGACCCTTGTAAATAGATTACGAATTATTGCAATATTCATGTATTATTGTATTTTACACCTGATTGAACACAGTGAGAACACAAACAAAGGACTTAACGTTATCTAGTCATATATACTGTATACCGGGATTTTTTCGCCCAGTCATATTTTTCGCCCTTCGGAAAAAAACATTTTCGCCCAATGTTAAATGCCCTTCACATTTAATTACTATGTATATTGTGTTGTTTACAAATGTCCGCTGCAATGATGAATATGCCCTCATCACGTAAACTAAATTTCCCTGTATGTAGTACATATTACAGTAACAAAACACGAAAACGCTTCTGGAATTAATGCAAATCATTCAGCATGGTTCCGATCAGAGGACTGAGGAGGGAAAGTTGCTTCAAGAATCTAAGATTTTTAAATAACAAAATATTACGGCAGAGCTATCTGTTATTGGTTCAAATTTATTCTATTTGGTGCCTTCATTGTGCTATGACGTCAATAACTAATTAAATGATGAAAGCAGACTTAAAACAGTTGAATGGGTAAAACATTTAAAACAGCATCGACACCCGCAAGTAACACTGAACACAGAGACATCAAAACAAAGGAACACAACGAAGTCTTCAGAAAGGGGAGGCCTCCAATTACATGTGGTACCTGCCATAATTGTTTTCTGTAAAAACCAGAAAAAAAACATTTCGGTTACCCACGGTCCATGGATCTGTAAAATGAGACATTATTGTTTCTGCAGGTCTAAGTAAACATGTACAGAGACAACTTTAATCTCGAGAAAATTTACATGAGCATTTAGTTTAATGATTTTTTCTTCTTCCACTTCGTTAATTTAAGATGAATGCGTTAAATACAAATTATAACTATTGCTACTTTCATTTGTAGCTTTAATGGGCGAGAGTGGAGATTATTACATCAACGGGGAATGGACTATAGATTGGCCCCGGAAATTCTCCCTGGCCGGAACAGTCTTTCATTATGAACGAGAAGATAACGAACCGGAGGTCCTCAGAGCGATTGGACCAACAAATGAAAATCTTGTTATCATGGTAATTATCTTTTTACGTGAAATTTGTAAACCTTCACAGACAACTCACTATTTAGACATTAAAAGTTTGAACACTTGGGAATTTTTTCTTTCCTTTTCTCTCTGTTTCCGGTGGTGTCAGTCAAGGCACCTGTCCCCATGTGACTATTCCGTCTTTCCGTATTGCAGAGTTATCTTCTCCTGGGAGCAGGTATTGATTGTTACGTCACTTGCTTGTGAGAATGACGTCATCAATTTTTGAGAAAACGACGTAATTTTCTCACACAGACCAATGACGTAACAATCAATACCTGCTCCCAAGAGAAGATAACTCTGCAAAACGCAAAGACGGAATAACCGCTGCAAGGACCTTTAACCCTGATCACAGAACATACACTGTCCATTTCAGATTTTGCTACAAGAGGAAAACCTTGGCGTGGACTACCAGTATAATGTGGCTAAGAATGCAACACTCTACAATCACGACGCCACACTCTACACCTGGCAGCACTCGATCTGGTCCGAATGCTCACATTCCTGTGGTAGAGGTAAACCAACTAATTTGTCTATTTCGCTCTGGCTCTGAAGGAATGAACTATTTGAAACGTCTTTTCTAATTATTCGTTTATTGTAAAAATAGCCATTTGTTTTAAGGAATTTCGCGAGCGCAATTTCAATATGTTCATATTCTAATAAGAATTACAACATCTTGAAATAGCGTAATCTTAATGAAATAATACGGAAGATTTTTGTCTTTTTTTATGATAGGTACGCGTGTGTCCAGCGCGGTGTGTGTTAAGAAATCTGACCGCCAAATGGTCGACAATGACCTCTGCACTCCCCAGCCAAAGCCGAGTGACCACAGTCGAACGTGCAACGACAACCCATGTCCAGCAAGGTAAACTACGAAATTGATGTAATGGCTGTGATGCAGGTATAGACGAAATTACTGACACTTATCTTTTCCGTTAGGATGGCATCAAAGATTATTAATTACGATATCGAGAGTAGTGGAGAGACTTATAAGAAAGATAGATGAAGATAGCTATACTCTTAAATAGAACTTAACTTGTTTAAACACTCGATTAATGACGATAGACGTTGAAATGTACGGTGAAAGTGAGAAATTGATGTCGAAACTTTTAAGACAAGTACTTAGACATGTGCCTAACGTTAGACGAGATAGTGTTAGGGATTGATGATACCTGAGAATAACGTATCAAACAACTTCCTACTTTACGGAAATCTCCCAGTCGACTTTTACTATCATAGTGTCCAGCTATAGTACACAAAACATAATCGAATATTAAACATTTCTGCTCTAACATCATCGGACCGGCAGAGAAAAATATCTACTGTAAAAGCGAGAATTGTCGCGAGTGGAAATATTCGCGTGTGACACTTTAAACCTATCGCGTTGTTGACATTTTCGCAAAAACAAGAACATATTCACACCACGAAAATTCTACTGATGTATACAACGAGTTGAGCGTTGAGTAATGCATTTATTGGCTGGAAAAACGTCATTTCGTTAGAATTGAATAGAATCAACATCATGTATAAGTACAATGGAACATTTGCAGAAATACCTTCATCAGTGATATATATTGACAGTTTGTATATAAACCATCTCATGTTTACTACTGTTTGACAATTACCTTATATTAAAATGCTCACAACCTACTCGGCCAGTTCTCCCGTTCTGAGTCAGCTACGTCCACTGTTGGTTTCGAATTAATGGTACATACATGTATAATGCACCACCAGTCGAATGCACCACAAGCAAGAATGCTCACAGCTTGCATGTCTTCATATCTAACTAATGTATGAATTAATGCGCTAAAACGGTTTCTGCTGACCTTTTACACTTCAGGAAAGAACACAATATATACATGTCGAACAAATGGTAAAGAAAAAAATGTATTAAGTTATCATCAAGAGTTTATTAAACAAGAATCTACAATGAAAGATTTTCAGCATCTTCAGCATCCATTGTCTTTACCCCTGGTTTCAGCTGGTCAGTGGGACGGTGGTCCCAATGCAGTGCTACTTGTGGTGACAACCGGTCGAAGAAGCGGAGCGTCACATGCGTCCAAACCATCAACCAGGAGGAGCAGGTGATCCTCCCGGATCAGGAGTGTCCCTCCCGGAAACCTAACACCGTGCGTCAGTGCCGCACTATTACTTGTCCTGCTGTGTGGTTCCCCGATCATTGGAGAGAGGTATTCCTACGCATAAGCTGCCATCCATGGTCCTTAGGATAGAGTCTGATTAATCTATAGTTAAACCTTCTCATGAGGTCAACAATTAGTGTAAAGTGTCCTATTTTTAAGTCAATCATTGCAGTGATTTCATTGTGAAACTAACCTTTTATCTGATATCACCTTTATAAAGAGTTTTCTTTTGTTTTGAATGGTTTGACAATAGTTATATCATACAAGGAAAATGTCGGCAGTTCTGACTCTTTTAAAAAAATAAAGTGATCCCTTTAATATGATCTGATCGGACTAGCGATTGGCCAGTTCAATTAAATAGCTAACCACTGTCTTTAGTTTTATCATGACATATTCCTCGGTTCGTGTTCATGAAACCGTTCTCATGCTCAAACCCAAATGTTGTGCTGAAGCCCAGTTTCTAAGTAATGAAAAATAACACTAGCCGAATACCGTTTTCAAATATCTACACTTGCCTTTTTGACCGTGTCACATGTTTTTACGCGTTAAAAGAAAGATGATCTGAACATAGAATTCATGCCTGAGCATGTGAACGGTTTCCTGGATACGGGCCCAGGGGTACAGTGAAAGGAAGAGAACGTTACCCCTGGAATGTCGAGGATGGATCTATGCGAGACAAAGTCGCATTTGTGGGTGTGTTGTGCACGATTGGTTGTTTTATACCTCGATGCATATTATTAAAAATGTGTTATTCTTGTCATTCGTCAAAGTTGATTGCTATCTTTACAAAACATTGCAGTGCTCAGCTGAATGTGGAATGGGGGAGACCACTCGTAACGTGTTCTGTATGACCAGTGACCGACAGAACTACCTACACGAGGCCCAGTGTAGCCAGGAGAAGAAGCCTCTCACTTGGGAAACCTGCATACAGCGGCCATGCCCTCCGCCCAGGTGGGACACAGATCCTTGGAGTCCGGTAAGCAAGGACTTTTCATTTGTTTTCAGTTTATTTAAAACCAAAACATTTTGTTGAAGAAAAGTATTCCTCTAACAACTTTCTAGATATCAGTCAACGTAGATGTCATTGAGGAACACATTTTATCGTTGAATTTTTGATTGTCAGGACGCAATCGAGGCATCGGATCGGTTTTATATCATAAAACTATCAAATGGACTTTACCAGCGCTTTGTTATGTTCGGTGATATGCAACATCTGGGGTTTTGTTCTTACGTATTCCCGTTTTCGTTTCAGTGCTCTGCCCGATGTGGAACAGGTCGTCAGACCCGTAATGTGGTGTGTCGTACGTACCGAGGAGAGAGGAGCAGCACCTGTCTACCCAGAGACAAACCTCAAACAATACAACAGTGTCATAACAACTGTGACTCCCAACCCTCCGTCGAAGGTGAGTGTCACACGTAACCTTCCAACCTCATATATAACGTCTTACAAAACTACTAATGGCTAAATGACATGTCCAATTTGTTTGCACTTTATACTAGAATCAGGTTTTATCAAATCTATGTGAAGGCTATTTTTAAGATAAAGATTTTCTAAATACCAGCAAGTATTTTTGTGTATATTATACGAGGAGAATAATTTCAATCGAAAGCATGCTTTGTTATATTTGTTTTTCAAACTGATTTAAACTTTACCTTGTTTTACGATTTAGCCGATGAAAACATTAGTCGAGGTATTATCTGAATGTCAGCTTTATAAAAAACGCTTATCATTTCGGCTGTCATACAAATGTATACATACGAATGATCTTTATACACTAATAGCTAAAGCTAATTAAAATCATAGTTTACGATCGTGCTTTTCTGACCCGTTATGAGTATATATACTTTTACTACTGTACGTCAAAGCCTTGCTTTCTTATTTGTCTACCAAACTTACCCTGTGAGGATTCCATTATAAGCCAAATACGTAGCATATCAAAACCTTATTTGCTGTTTTAAGTATGTCTTGGCTTTAATTATGTATTCTAAATAAAATCTTAACAATCATAAGAATAGATGTATCATTTGTTCATACTTTATCTGTTTAAGACGTTTATCAAAATTCTGAATGAATAATTGTAAATTATGATGTGTGTTCCTTGTTTCTAGACTGTGTGGATCAAGACAAGGCGCAGTTCTGTCCACTTGTAGAGAGGTTCCGAGTGTGCGACCGGGAGTATTTCTACCGGATGTGCTGTAGGACATGTGTCGATTCAGGGCAAAGGACGTTCGGATGAACGCTATATATTTAGACAGATGTTAATAATATATAATTAATGCTTATAATTAATGACAGATGACGTACAGATAGCCACCGCAGACAATTATATATAAATGACTCTCCTAGTAGATGACTTTGGATGGATACAATGTTAAATGACGTTCGGATCGACTCTGCAGATGCCGTATGGATAGGCACTATTAAATTAAGAATAGTTTTACAAAAGCATATGATAAATAGATAGATTTGTTATGCAGAAGGCGAAGGATAAACACAGCATAGCATACTAGGAAGATCACATAAAGAACTTACTTAAATGCTTGAAAAAATATTTGCGATAGGATAGTGACCATTCAGAGATTGATGGACTGTTTAAAATCAAACGTTGCTGATAAATTATTCACATATTCCGCGTAGACTGGGGGATCTGACTGCTTCTGTTATCGCATACTGTCTGTCATACAAAACCTTCAATCTGTTAATACAGACACCAACCATGTACATTAACTATATGTCTTGGAGCAATCTTGAAAATGGTGACATTGTATCATGCATACGTAAAAATCTCAAAAAAAAAGAAACAAAAAATAAAATTCATAGTAAAATTCAATGTATTAATTAGAGACTTCGTACTTAGAATGATATATAGTTATTTTACGTTCAAGTGAATGTCTATATTACTTTATTTGGTCCATAAGAAAAGGATTGGTTTTCCTTTTGCGAATCGAAATATACTGAGGAAAGTAGTGCGTCGGTGTAATCATGCTTCGATACATTTCAAAGGTGATTTCATATTATCTTCGTTCGAAAACCGTATATTTCAATATTTATATATATTTACATTACAATTTGGCAAAATATAATAAATGTTGTGATTAAATTTTACGATTTATTTCATCATATACATCTACCAAAATTGTGATACTGTAAGTAAAATAGTTTATTAATTTACGGTAACTAAACATAACATGTAGTAAGGGAATAAAAGCTAGAATCTGCTCCTTTATATAACCCAGCCTCACCTTGCCATGTAACCCTCAGACAAGATATTTGCACTTGTATACATGTTTATTTACAGTTGAGAATTACATGATGTGAATGTTTCTGTCTATATATCGTGTGTATATTAACGAAGTTATCTGTTGTATACTAGTGATTTTATAAATTATAAATGTTATGTGTACATATTTAAAACAAGTAACTTTTTTTTAATATAATTCCATGTTCTAAAAATCTGATAAATGTAATTTTATCCCTGACAGCTTCGTCTAAACTACAAAACAACTGTGTTCCAATGAATATTTTTTTTTTTTAAATTTGTGAGTGTCTACGTAAACAAATTCAATTTAATATCGTCAACTATGTCTTGGATACAAAATACAGCGAAATATATCAAAATGAATCCTAGGCACAAATAACGCGAAATATATAAACATGTTTCTATGACGCATAGATATGCGAAATATATCAATAAGTGTCGAAGGATCAAAATGTTTGAACATAATAATGTCCAAGGCACAAAGATCCCAGAAAGATATAAACATGTTTCTTAGAAACTGAATTACATTAAAATTTGTATCGTTTTTCACATTATGTTATCGATTTTACGTTGATTTACTTTGAAATAATCACAGATGATTTGGTCTTGATAAGTAACATAAAAATACTAGAAATGATGATGATACAAGCAAACTCTTCGCTAGCTCGGCAATCTTTCAAGTCGATGTCATCCCTTTGTGATATGTTGTTTATATTTTGACTGACTGGCTTATATCAATGTTTAGTTTTATACCGACTTTGGGATACGGAAATTGTCAACATTATAAATTATATTTCATTGCTATCTAACTAAGATATTAATTGTTATATTTACAAATATAAAAAGATTACAATTCTTCAGGAAGCTGTTAAGTTTGAATGAAATACATGTGCAATTAAAATTTAACTTCTTTTTTTGCTTTAAATATTCAGTTTTTGCAATTTCATGGTGAACATTTTCCATTTACTATCTTACGTAAAATATTGCTTTTTCTCAAATCTTGATACATATAACTTTACTCTTTAATATATGTGTATCCTGAAAAAGCACCTGATGTTCATCCTTTTACAAATGATATTAATGTGAAAACGTTTGGTCATGAATAGATCCTGATTAAGATGTATTTAATATGTATATATGTGTGTGTAAGACTTAGTAGCTATCAGACATTCTGTTGCTCATGTATATAGATTACAATAAAATAGTATTCAAAACGTGGATCTTGTTTCTTTTACATACTATTGGTAAAAAGATCATGGGATATTGCAGAAACAACTGACAGCTTAGTGGTATCTTTTTGGATGAGTAACATGTCATTTCACTTCAAGTAAGAGAAGACCTAAAACATATTAAAACTATAGCATCACCGATCAATTTTAACCATTTTTGTAGTTGAAGAGATTTATTAATAGCCTGACATATCGAAGCAATATAGTATATATACATTGTAGGGAATAGAACGCAAAAGCAATATTTTAAGTATTCCGTTTTATAAGAATATTATAACATTATAACTAACATGTATATACTTTTCTGGTGACCAACTAAATTGATTGACAATTAAAGTTATCAACTAAAACGAAAAGGAACAAATGGTTGTTTGAAAATGTAGTTTTATTTAATTGAATATCCGTAAGCAACATGATGCATCGTAAACAAGTTGACATAATTGACAAATATAAACAACAACAAAGATAAGTATAATAATAGATACGTGATATTTAACACAATAATATACATATATATCCTTCAGTAGCAATTTTATACATTAAATACGTTTGTTTCACGTGAAAATATATATATTTATAATACATCCTTTTTATATACAGAAATGACATTTTATGTAAATTTATAAGGTAAACTTCATGCAAGATCCGTTTAATTGTTGTCAAAAATATACGGTTAATCCCTCACATGTTTATAATATCTGTTAACTACATTTTAATTGTAGTTTTATCCACATCGTCCCTCACAACCTAACTGCTTTCCTTAAACGATTGATGAATATATTAGAAATATCTTTTTTCGAGTACATTTTATAAGGGTAATCGTGACAAAAATATTTTTTGTAAATGTTACTAAATGGGCGACGGGTGCACTTTTTTTGAGGGGTAAATACTTTCTCACAGTGGGCCTCAGTCATGAGAGAGGTTCCCACTTTCTTATGTGGGTCTGGCAAATGTAAAAGTAGCTTATTTCTCATCAGAACCTAGTTAAAGTTAGAGATGCCTACTTTATCATAGGGGGTCTACGTTCAGAAGAAAACATAAGTTCTGTGCGGAGTACGTGTATCAGTATGTTCTAAGGAGAAGATACGTGATCTTTTAGGGCTTAATTTTTTCAAGGATTCCTGCTATCTATTAGCAGGACCTACTCTCTGTGATAGATTTCCACTTTTTGTTAGACGTATATTCTTTCCTGTAAGGGTATTCATTTTCGTACTTAGCGTACGAACTTCAAGTATTGCGAAATTTAGACGGTTATCAGCAGCGAGACAGAGTTATACCACAAAGTACACGAAACAATAATACACACTTCCGAACTGTTTGGTAGAGTTAATAAGTATCAATTTTATCAATTTTTACTGTCAAATACAAATATTATAAACTGTCCAAAAAGCTACTTATTGCTCTCCTCATATTTCCCATCACATTTGCATGTCTTAAATGCGATAAATCAAAATGATCTTAATAAGGATCATTATCACTGAAAAATACATTTTCTGACACCTGGATTGTTTTTGTGTGAAGAAGAATTATAGGATAAATAAAAATGAGTTATTTAAAGAAATTCTCACAGGATATCTAATATTTATAAATATAACGCTTCACGTTTGTTATTCATGCAACAAACATTAACACACTTGATTCAAGTGGTAAAATAAAATAAAGTCATTGATACCATTTGTTGTAGACAATAATTGAACTATGAAATCAAACACGAACAACATAGTATTGTACAGATTTGTCCACCATCAAACACTTTCAACAATTGTTACAGTCACGGTCGAACTCAAATGCAGCACTATTTAAATATACAATAAACATCCTTTGATCAATGTAAACGGTTGTTTACAATTTATTGAACAAAGAGGAAATTGTAAGGGACGAACATTATTTGTCAAGTTGCATTATTTCTATGCGAAGTCCAAATGTAACTTTCACGTACTATATATACATTTCACAAAATGTAAAAAGGAAATTTCACCAACCTGAAACAGTGGTTTCTTCGAATTGATGCATAACAAAAATACGAACATTAAAACACCTGCTGATGTATTCGTTAAAAGAAATTAAACAAAACTATAAAGATATATTTACAAACTATATCTTACGTCCATAAATAAGGGAAACAATAATTGTCAAAGTATACAATAAACAATATTTCTGATTCGCACGAGGTTTATCACATAACTGCTGCTAATAAGGGCTCAATAAAAAAAATACATTGCACAAATTACCTTACTAGACATACAACGTTTTACACGAAAATGGCAACAATGGGTCTCATCTATCCGAAATATTCCGGGGGACCCCATTACTCCAAACAAATACACGGGTTTCATTAATCGGTACAACTGCAGGAACTTTGTTAATCTGGATATCTCAGTTCCCAAAATAATTGATTTTGAAGCGGAAATGTCAACCTTTAATTTTATAATTAAATTACTGAATGTAACTTTCGGGCAGCCCTTTTGCGTCCGGAAAAACTAAATCCGAATATTTAGATGCCCTCCCCTCCCAGGGAAACGAGTTGTCGGAATGCATGTAGATCTATGTTCTACCTAAACGGGTTAGAAGTTATAACAATTACTTACTGGTGATCTATAAGCTCAAAATAATTTATTCTCAAATATACATCATTTGAATGTGGTCAAATTTTTCCATTCTCAGTTAATCCCTAGTTTTTACATGTAATGATAATAATATTTGAATCTTTCACTAATTCACCGCTGAGACTTCATAATAAACTATTCCAACCTTTGAAATGGAAGAGTTTAAATGTGTTTTCAGGGATGAATGGGTTAAGAAAAAAATATGTTGTTATTCAATATAATTGCCTTATATAATTCAAACAATAAAGAAGATAAAGAATAAAAAAAAAATGAACACAGTATCGCACATTTCCAATTTCATAAAGTATGATGATAATCACCTGTAGTTGAGTTCTTATATTGCGTCATAAATTAAATGAAAATAAGACATGGTATATGTAATAGTTAGCAGCCTACCACATATATCCTTCCACAAACTAGCGAAAGATAGATCCCGTGTGGAGAACATACGAAACACGAGTTGTCTACCGTCAGCTGTAATCTGTGAATAAGTGTATGGAAGAAAATATATATACATCATTAAAATGAGGTTACACATGTTTAAAACAACGTAAAAATATTCTGAATGAAATCTGTTAGATCTGTACTGGGTATTGTTATCATATTGCGGCACGTCATTTTATAATCTTTTATCACTGGCTTTTCAGTTACGAAAACGTCTTAGTCCATTCACACGAACATCAATCACGTTCCTGTCAGTCTGACGCGTTAGTCTGACAAGAAGAAAAACAACGTTACGTACGGTGTATTACGGTTACCTTCTGTTGATACACTCGTACTGTGCAACGTTGCACAAGACTTTCGTCTTATTACCATCCCCGTTGGCAGATTTCCTAAACCAGAATACTGAAGTCGTAAAAAAATAAACGTCCTTCAATACGCTCATCAGCCTTGGGCAAGGATGTTTATCCCTTGTGGAGAATCCATTGTTTTTTCTAGTCGATTGCACAAACCATTAACTTCAGCCATCATGTTGTTCCTGCTTCCAACAAAAAGTCAGGGTTATTTTGTCTATAGATTTTCCCTCTTGTATGTGAAATCCTGAGAATGGAAGTTAATTAGTTGACGAAGATAATCTTCATTAGCACTGCAGTGCGTTCCTGTTACTGAACCTGTCTCCTTGACGCCTTTAAAAGCAAATTGCACAGGTAATACTGCTGATGGCTCCCGTAAATGTTATAGGACCGTACGTAACACACCGTTTTCATAAATAATATGTTCTCCTTTCAAGTTCCTTAAATAGTACAATACTCTGATGAACGAGTATAGAGGTCCGTCCACACAATTTGGCTCTCTCAGTTACATGTCCTTAAAATGTATCCTTTCATTAATGATATCTGCAGAACCACGCGTCCTTTTCATTACCGAGGTCCATAGAGCATACATCTTCACGCATGTTTGAGCCTGTAACCCACAAGTACACTTCCTCTAAACAAGGTCCTTCAGAACACGAATTCTTGTCCTTATCAAGGCAGGAAAGGACATCCTTTCATTGCCACTTGAATGCTTTTCATTATCAAAGTCACCAGGAACTATATATAAGGTTCACAAGACTGACATATCCTTTCCATTCCCGACATTCACAAGAATACATATATGTTCCATTATAAAAGTCAATAATTCTTAACTAGAAACGAAAACAAAACAGTTTAACTCGAAAACTTATTAAGGAATCCCCTCGCTTTCCTATTCCTTCGCCCTCCCCGAGATACATGGCGCTTAGGATTTGTTCTCAAAGATGGTAAAGATGATGACTGTGAAGATGATGACGATGATATAAACTGTTCGCATATGAATTTTTTTGATGATTTATCACAAAGTTTGTTTTTCCATTTCCTCCTAGTATTGACTAATACACAGTTCTTACGATGTACTGTTCTTCTGACTCGAGGCCGACCTCGAGCCCAGCGCGTATATCCTAGGGGCTCCCCATTCACATACCTCCATATCTTCGCATTCGCTTTATCATTCAGTCCTGTGCAATAAAGAAGAACGTGATGAGTCGTATTGCATCATAATTGTTTTGATAATTGTAATGATGATAGTAAATAAATAAACAAAAAGAATTATCCGAGAATAATTAAACAATCTCAATGCATGTCACAAAACGTTTTCGGAGATTATTAATATGAAGTTACCATATGAAAAATACTGAGATTTTAAATTGCACATAAAGTTGTCTTAATTAATCTTTGAGGTAAAGTCACGCTTGAAATAGAAAGTAAATGAATAAGAGTAACATACCGATCCAGAATGAGTTTTTGCCGACAAGTTTTAAGAGCCATTTGTAGTGACGTCGAGAGCGGACACTGGTGAGATGGGAACTATGTGATCCTTGGCAGTGATGCTCGGATGCTTCCCAAGATAATTTGTTTTCAAAGATTTTGTAACATCTATTTTCGTACTCGGACCAACCTGAAAAATAGGGAGTTTAAAGTTGATGTGTACAGTGAAACCTCAATATAATGCCCATCGTTTAAGTAACAAAAAAAACCTCAATATAATGCCCCTCGTTTATGTACAGTGAAACCTCGATATAATACCCCTCGTTTATGTACAGTTTAACCTCAATATAATGCCCCTCGTTTATGTACAGTGAAACCTCAATATAATGTGCCTCGTTTTTGTACAGTGAAACCTCAATATAATGCCCCTCGCTTATGTACAGTTTAACATCAATATAATGACCCTCGTTTATGTAGTTTAACCTTCGTTTCATTTGCCACCTTGCTCATCGCCAACATATTCCAATGTCCATTTTTCTTGTTTTCTTAATATTTCCTATATACGGTTCACAATATTTAACCGAACCCCTGTTTAATGACAAAAATTATTTTGACAGATAGTAGCATTATAACGAAGTTATACTGTAAATATATAATATCAATATCAACTATCAGACCTCACTTACACTAGTAACGTGAAGATGAAAACAAGTTTTCCTGATAAGCTTTCATAATTTGATTCCGTTCATTTAGATGTTTATTCCACATTGGAAAACGAAAGTACATAGTGACTGATTGGTATTATTTTGAAACGCCGTTAAATAACTAAACATAGCTAATATAAGATCAAATACATTATTAATAAAAACATTACCCAAATTGTACTGGAGCAAAAATCATTTACTAATGCATTTATAATGAATAATATTGTTATTTTCGTGACAGTAGTTAAAAATACCTGGTTGACATCTGGTTGTTGGTTCTGGCTGATCTTGGTTCGATTCCGGATTCCATGATTTCCAACTTTCGCCGTCACACTTGTACATCCTCTGTGCGAACTCATCGAAGTGGAGCAGATTTTTGGTACTCTTGGCGCATATCTGTGGTGCCTAAGTGGTGAAAATGTCAAAGTCAAATAGGGTAATAAGGTAATAAAGGGCAAGACCATCCTGAGTTATAAATCAGTAACAAGTATCCTTTAATAGAAAAAAATAAAGCATATCAGTTTATTCAGATTTGTTTGAAGTACAGATAATAAAAAAATGACATTTTAACATTGTCAAAACAATTACAATTTACTGAAACAAATTGCTAAACTAGGTGATAAAATAACCACTTGTATATTATTATTTCCGGCAAGTTTTAGGTCAAGTGAATCACTGAAAGTATCTATTCAGTTTATTACTATACTTTATCTTTGTTTTCCTTCTTATATTGCAATGTCGGATATGGTTTTTTACAAGTCATATTTTAACACATTACGCATAAAGGATATGTGCCATTGTTCTAATCCGTGCAATCATGTCTTATGAAGTTTTTGAAAAAAATTCCTCTGAAAATATTAAACTATAGCATAGTATAGTATAGTAGAGAGGGAGACCTCGATATAATGCCCTCGATTCATTCAACACATATTGTAATGTCCCTTTTTCTAGCTTTTTTAATGTTTCCTTTTTACACCTTTCTTCAGCCAAACCCCTATATAAAGCTAAATTTTCCCTGGACATATGGTGGCATTATAACAGGGGTTTACTGTACTGTGGTAGCCGGGTATACCTGTATTTTCTGTGATGCAGTTGGTAGGTTTGTGAAGATAGATTCTGGATCTTGTTGTTGACTATTAGACTGTTGCTTGTTTTTATTCCTCTTTGACTTCTTTAGACTACCATGTCTCCTCCTCTTTTTAGACCTACTCCTCCTTTTGCCCTTTCTTCCCTTCCTCCTCGCTGTCACCGTTTCGTTGTCGTCATTGCCAGTTTGTGATCCAGACGAGGACGACGAACGTTGCGATGACAACCGTGACGCCGGGACAGATGACCGAGCAGCAGACGTAGATGATGACAGAGTTTGTGCCGGGTCAGTGTTGTAAGCATTGTCGAATGGACTAGAGGTATCTACCGAGTTCATATTGTTAAACTGTAAAGGAACAACCGTAAACAACTTTGAACAACTGCATTCCCTCATTTCACACAGTTCTTAAGATTAAAAACAATGCCTTATGCATTCATTAACAAATTCGTGGAACTTATCAAATATGAAGGAACAAAGTTTCTAGTCAAATTGATGACACGCATTTAAAAAACATTTAATATTACAGTTTATTGTTCATGTATAGCTGTATTATCATACAAACAGCAAATGTCGTCCTAATTTCAACAATGTTAAGATAATGTCAAAACATTCAATGACTTAATTAATATGTTGAGTTTCACTTATCGGCTTACTTACAGAGACAATGGTTTCCGTATTTTCGTTGACGTCACTTCCGGGGAGTAAGAATCCGTCACCTTCGTTACCGTCAATGTTATGCTTGCTTATCATGCCAAAATACTGGGGGCATTCTCCTGAAATAGATGAGGTCAAAAGACTGTACAGCATGCTCATACAACACACGAGACGCCTCGTCACGAAATACATGACCTTTATATAACAAGCATTACTAGAAGCACTTGGCAACGATATCGTTTCTACAACAATAACGGACAGGTATGCTGAACTATTTCTGGCATGTAGGAGTATTCCGTTTTAAATGTATAACTGAAAGATGAAAGCAACTTCAGTTGTCAAGCAAACACTACTTATCTACAGTGCCGACTGCCTTGACAGGCCAATCAATCAGCTATATCATAATCAATAAAGACAAGTTTTTGAATGCATCACTTTTCCTATGATGTGTAACACATATCACATTCAATAACGATTCTCTTTCTTTAGATATAAACCTTTTTACTTTGCTTAAGTTCAATCTTACCATTTTCAGCATTGATTACACGGACGCTGGCTTTGCTGTTTTTGCCTAAGACGGCGTTGACTGGTTCTTCAAGAGCGATTCTAAACTTCTCCGTATTCTCTAACAAATTATCGTCAGGGATTAAAACATCCCAGGATGCCCTAGCCTCACCTTTAATAAGAGAAAACATTAGTCAGCAACACTGTATATATTTTATATATAGAAGATCTCAAGCAAAATTCTCATTACAGACGTATCAAAGAAACTTCAATGATTTTCACAACACACGCTTGACATCTTTTATCAAACTTACTTTATGTAAACTTACACGTTTTGTCAAAAGAAAAAACCCAGCAGAATTGGTGGATATATCAATAACCAGACATTTTGATTAAAATCTGATGAATACTGAAAATATCAAATAAAAAAGCAATTCAAACAATTACAGATTCTATCAAATTTTGATTACATGTGCACTCTAGTAGAATTTGCAAAGATTATACCGCAGGGGATTTTAGAATCCTGTTATTCAGAACAAATAATATTTATATCTATAAAAAAAAATATCGCCGCGCTTCTCTTTCCGTGTATTATGACTGTATCTCTTATATTTAACGTCACAATAGTTTGTATCGCACATAGGTCATATTAATAATCAAAGTGAAAATATTGATATATTAAGCTGTATTATGATACATGTTAAGTCGGTCAACTAAGGCTTGCCTTTAAGCCACCATATCATTGAATGTAATGTAGAAACAACAATTAAGCTCTCTTTTATTACATGGTCTATATGATTTTTTTGTTTTTTGACAGTTGATGTAAAGAACCACTAGAGAACTTTCTCAATTTTTATTTTCGATAGATGTTAAAGGGCATCACTACCGTGGTATATCCGTCAAAACATAATTATTATTAAACATAACCTACCAGGATTGAACTGGACCTGTTGGGCCGTGCTGGGAATGAAGTCATGTCCTTTCTTGGCCGACATGTCGAACACCTTAATGCCGACAAAAGCCATTTGGTCCAGGGACCCCTGTCTCACCAGGCCGATACTGAGTGTGCCGATGTTCTCACATACAATCAAACGAGTTTGTGTGAAACTGATGATTGACCATTTAAGTGAAAAACTGTAATAAAAAGTACACAATCTAGAACGAAGGACAGTTGTATTTTTATCGGCATTTTCAAAAATGGATGATGACAAATCAAGAATTATGTTCTTAAAAAAAGATATTTATATTAATGGCCGACATTGATATCTGCCTTAAAGCATCAATTAAACTATCAGAATATTTCAGAATATATGGAGAAAAACAAACTTTTCATTGAAGGCATTTGATTTAGTAATATCTCATACTAGTAACAGTAACATGTAAAATCATATTTGAATTAAGGATCCCCGTACCAAGGCATCCACATGTAAATATTGGATTGCATGGGAAACTGAAAAAGTTTCCCATGCAATCCAATGTTTACAGTTTTCTATTCAGAAAAAAAGTTTTGTTTGCCTTAACAAAACTTTTTTCTAAAAAAGAAAACTGTACCTAACCAAGCTAACAAGACAACAACAAGCACCCTGGTACAGTTTTGCTTAAGTTAGGTCAATAACGAAATAAAGGGGATGTCATTTGATAAACGACAAAATTACAGCAGAATCATCAAGTGTTTCATGCAACGGGACAAGGATCCTTAATTGAAATTTTGTTATGACGTTTATTCTATGTCTACGCTTAAAGCTGTAACCTACATTTGGTTGTCCAGGGTGTTGCCTCTCGAGTCCATCACACGGAACATAAATGAGTCATTGGTAGCCCTTGTCCTCGAATTCAGTACATAGCGAAGGTCATTTTCATTCAAGTCATTTTGTGAGAACTTCCGGCGGATGTAACGCTTCGTTGACATATTTTCAATTTGCCCGTGGAGTGGTCGCTTTGTCATTATGTACATCAAGTTTTCGTTGTCTGTGTCCGAATCCACTACCTTTAAATTTCTGTTATTCAATCGAAATCCGTACTTCCCTTTTCCGAAATGTTCGAGGACATCGGGATGGTTTGAGACCAATAATTTCGGGGCGTCGTTAGCAATGGGCTTGACAAAAACACTACAAATAACAGGTGTTAACTGCAGAGTGCCATTTACAAGGAATCCACTGTGTTTGCCGTCACTCAAACTGAATAGGAAATTATCTAAACCGGCATGGGAACCGTGACTTTCGTATATAATGTGTCCTCTCTCTATATCCAGCTGTGTAAAAGACTGTGTAATGAGTATTCCGCGGTTGTAGAGGAGTCCGAAAGTGGGAGGTTTTGCTAATAAGTAAGTAACGTTCATATCTGCAGTATCAGGATCCTGAGCTCTCAAATAGGCCTGTGACAAAACGACTTCGCCTCCTTGTACTACTTCGATGAGGTTATTCGTGTTTAGGGAAGGAAGGACCCTGTCCAGTGGTTCAATGTTGATCCTAAACACGCCGTCTTTTGCCTCACTCAACCCATTTGTGACGGTAAACGTAAATGAATCGTCCGTTATGTCGCTCTTTGTTAAATGGTTGTATACTATCCTCTGAGCAGCAAGGTCCATTTGTGTAAAACTACTTATACCAACCAAGGGTCTGTCTATGTATTCTACCTGTCCAAGAGCCGGCGGGCGAATAATGGCAAAAACAATTTCATCGGCTTTTGTACTTTCGTCCGTTGCACTTAAACATGTTGTTGTAATTACCGTTTTGTCTCCCTCTCTCACATTTAGTCCTTTGTTGAGCAATGCCAGATTCGTTTTCATTGAATTTCTTATAAGAATTTCAAACGTTTCAATTTGCCTGTTATTGATACCGTCTGTTAACATAAATTGAAAACTGTCAGTTTCAGCATTGCCCATACTGCTTGTATGAATGTATCGAATTCTGTTCATATCAATGTCGTGTTGTGTGAAGTTCATCCGCTCCGACATATCTTCACACTCCGATGACCTCGCGGGTGTGAATGGATCAGTACAGAACTGCAGGAAGCCCTTCCTTGGTACAGTGGCGAGAACGTAGTACACTTCGTTTTCGCTGTTGTCCGGGTCCATTGACTGTAACACAATACTAGAGATTAACCCATAGTCTCCATACTCGATCTGCAGGCCGGCGTTCTTTGATATCTCTGGTACCTCGTCATTAATGGGTGTTATTGTGATGTTGCAGATTCTTTTCACCTCGTATCGTCCATCCGAAACCGTCACCGCAAATCTATCTCTGAAATTCTCCGAGTGATCGTGTCTATATTTAAGTTGCATGCCGCTGTGAAGTTCATCAATTGTGAAGTCTTGAACGGCCGATTCGATGTTTCCGTTCTGTGTGTGTAACAATATGACTATATCTCCGTGCTCAGGTTCCTGTGATATGGACAATGTGATTTGGTCCTTTGGCATATCCATGTCTATAGCATCTATCATTGTCTGATCTATTATCATGCTGTCTCCTTCATCCAGATGCATGTCTTGTATCATCAGGTCAGGTACCTCGTCATTTTGTGGGTCAATCCTAATCACAAATGTCGCCTCGTCAGATTTCAACGTTCCGTCAGTAGCATACAACGTGAATTCATCATATACGGGTTCAACACCTCTGTGTGTTGCCTGAACATAGGTGATCGTTTCGTCAATCACATCCTGAAGTTTGAATGACATGATTCGCCTGCCAAGGTTGCTTTTCTCTGACCCCGGACTCGGTTGTACATTCTCTAAGTATCCCCACTGTGGCTGTCTCACGATAAAGAACTGAATATCTTCAGGTGGAGTATCTGGATCTTTGGCTGTCAGAACGTCAGGAACAATATCGAAACTACCTCCTTCCGCGACATGGACCTGCTCACCGATGATTATCGTGGGACGGGAATTGTCGACAGGTGTTATCGTAATGTTTAGATCATAGTATGGGAGGTCGGCGGTACCCATGTAGGTTTGGTCCGACACGATAAGTGTCATCGAGTCTTTCAGCACTGTAGTACCGATCTCTCCACCAGTGTGTATGTACTTCACCAATCGGTTTTCCACGTCCTCTTGGGTGAACTTCACTGTTGGTCGGTCATCAAGACGAAGGATTCCGTATTTCGGCTGTTTGACGATAAGAAACACGAGCTCTCGGTCATTTGTGTCGTCATCAGTGGCTGAAAGGACTTGAGGGGAAATAACTACCTCACTTCCCTCAGAAACGATAAGTCGAGGGCGTAGATTGTCGCGAAGTTGAGGCGCTTGGTCGTCAATCGGTACGATCTCCACAGAAAACACTTTGGTTGCTCTGTTGATACTGTCTGTCAGAGTTAATGTAAATGTGTCCTGTGTTCCTTCCGCGCCATCGTGAATATACCTGTGGAATACACAATTATAAGAAAATAACTAACAAATAAAACACAGACACCAAGTTAAACTGATTGTCGAGCAGCAAGAATAACCTATTCGAATTTCAGTATTAAACATCTTTTCAAGTTTGTCTCTTTATTTGTTTAAGAATTTACGTCATTTTAACAGCTAAGGTAATATGAAAAGAATAAATAATCTCTTTCAAACAGAATTATGAAAGAACGCATTTTGAAATAGTTGCAACTGTCTCTATTAAATAAGTGTTTTGTCCTTTCGATAAAATTATGTATATCCCTTAGCAAAACATACAATTTGATAGCATGATAAGAAGAAAAGTATAACATGGTTGCTTCAGCGTTATTTACATCGCATTTACCTGACATTCTTGCTCTTTAGGTCGTCCATATGGAATGTACCTCCCTCATTTAGAGTGACCCCTCCCTTCTGTAAAACCCCGAAATTTGGAACCTCATCGAGGACGAACTCAAGATCGGTCTCGAGTGTGTCTGAATCTGTAGCTGACAGCTGACTGGCCGACAGACCCAGAATACCACTCTCCTCGACGAGCAATTTGCTGGTGACAAAAACTGGTGGTTGGTTATTGACAGGTTGAACGTCGATTTCAAAGTATTGTCCGAGTACTTGGTTTCCGCTAGAGTCTTGGACAGTGTAGACAAATCGAACAAGTCTGGCCTCTGGACCAATGTCAACAAGAGGGGGCATGTAGGCGATCTTCATGTGGTTGATATCAGCTTGCTTGAAAGTCTGCACAACAGGGATAGACGCGTTCTTTGATACCATCGTTAAGTTGTGTGTTTCGATGAGTCGTCCGGCGTCTTCAAAACCAGAATTGTACACAAAGAATGGAGGTGAGGTAATGATGTACGTTAGTTCGTTATTTTCCGTTTCGACATCTGTGTATTCTAGTTCTGACTTGGTAATGTAAGCGATGTCGGTCTCCGAAACATGGATAAGCCTTGTGGCTTGTGGAGCAAGTTGTGGTGGGTTCTCATGGACCGGGTTTATGTTGATGTGGAATGTTTCTATTATTGATCTATTAGGTGGATCTTCGTGATCACGAACTTTGAACTGGAAAGAATCAGAAAATACCTCATGTCCGAAATGGTGATAATAAATCTGCCCTTTCAACAGATCTCTCTGTACAAACTTATTTATTCTCGTCCCGGTATCACCTGGTCTCAATCTACGGATGATTTCGCCAGCTTTAGGGGGATGTGTAATGATGAACACTATGTTCCGGTCAACAGAGTCGGTGTCGTAAGCTAGCAGCATTTCGGTAGTGAATGGTTTCGTATCTCCTTCGTTGATGTCCATGTCGACATTGTTTACGAGATATGGAGGACTGTCGTCTTTTGGGATAATAGTGATTGGGAAGTTCACAAGAACCGTATTGACGCCATCACTAACTCGGAAAGCAATGAAGTCCTTGGTCGTGTCACTGTCGTCATGGTAATAAATGACAGACCTCCGCTGAATATCCTGCATGGTGATGGCGATTGCACGGCGGCCATTTATTTCAAGTCTACCATACTTCAATCCACCAGTAACATACAATCTAACCCGACTCAGGTTATCCCTGTCCACGATTTGTAAATCGTCCGTCGTGATAGCGCGCGATTGACCTTCAAGAAGGACGATACCTTTGTTGAACGACACACGTGGAGCACTTGTTGCAGACGAACGAACAGCCATATGAAGCGTAATTGGCATACTCTCAGAAAAGTGGCTATCGAAAACTATGAATTCCGTTTCATAAACTCGTTTGTTAGTGTGAATACTTGAATCTGGCGGTTGATAGGCGATTCTGTGGTTTTCTAAATCTTCTTGGGTAAACGATGTAATAACTGTTGTGTGGTCATCTAGGCTGACAAAGAATCCCTCGTCCTCTGCCGGTGGTCGACTTATGTTGTAAACAAGTTGGTCGTTGGGAGTTTCGTAGTCCTCTGCCGCTATCACACCCGGTATGATTGTCGAGAGGACAAACTGATCAACGTCCATCATATACATGCTCATGAAGGACGACCGAGGTGGGGTGTTGGGGATGGCGCCCTTTATATGTATTGGCAAGTAATAACTCTCGATTATCGTTTCATCGCTTACTGAGGGGTCATTTAGTTCAACAGTCAAGGGGAGATAATCTACATCCGGGCTAGGTCCGCGCTGATGTTCATAATGGAGATGCATATACATGAATTCCCGACAACTTCGCTTCAAAGCGTTGACACTTTCCCGTCTTTCTCCAATAACAATCTGCCCGGCGATAGGCCAATGTGATCTATACCTAGAAAAAGACACGTCGCATGTAACGTTTTGAACTCCACTGTGATAGAAACGAATGACGGAGGCATCTATGGTGTTCGAAACTCCGTTAAATTCAGGTACGACAACTGATCTCAAGCCTCGGGTTAAAACGACTCTACTTGTGGCGTTGACGATTTCAACATTCATGTAGAAAGTTTCAGACTCGGTCACTGTCGGTGTAAACCGATAGACGCGTAGTTTGATCCGGTCCTCCCCGAGTAACGGCGACCCACTGTGCGCATATTTGATGGTGTTTGGTAGGTAGTCACAGTCAAAGATCTGAAATGACAGAAACGGAAAACAGGTTATTCGACTTCGCAATTTAAATCTAACATACTTTAACGTTTTTGGTTTGAGCATTCAAGTTTCCAATCATAAAAAGAAAGTCAATTTAAGAGATGTTTACAAGATTCTGTTTGATATCACATCAGTGAGTTAATGTTATACAAGCCAGCACTAACGTGTCAGTGATGCTATCTTGAATTGGAAGCCTGTGTCGCCGTATTGAGGACAAACATATTTTACTCTAAGGTTAATGAAAGGTAGTGTTAGCATTAAAACAAACATCGAAATCTTCAACTTGAAACATTAGATGTTAATGCTATCATCGACATCAATGCAATAAAACATCATTTCCGTCAGCGGAACATGGTATGTCGGCCATGTGACGGGCGTAAATTATTTGCGTTTAAGCACCTTACAAAATGTCGTTATCGTGCCCATTGCTTTAATGAAAACGCACTATGATGACATGATTTCAAGGTCGTTAGAGAAAGCGATTGCCTTTGTCTCGACTTATTGATTGGCAAGTACGTACACTAGGCCATTCCGATCCCTCTGTGATCCATCTTGACATACGGGAATGTATGGTCGCTACGTGAGCGCCTCCGCATCATTTGTACAATTGTATATTTATGTACATTATTTATTTGAATCCATTTGGGTAAACTAAATGCGTCTCGGTGGTAGTCAATGCTTACAAACGGTAGAATGGTTGGAAATAGCTACCGTCGCACTCTTAAAGGGACATGTTCGCAAATTATGTGATACTGTCTCATCAAGGGGAATATTCGCAAATAAACGTGGTCCCGCACCTGGAATTGATTTTAACTCCTCAAGAGCCATGTTGCTAATATTCACCTATTGGACATTAAAAATCAAACGTAATTCAGGACATGTTCCGTCAAGATCTCAAAATTTTCTACTAAAATCAAGGGGCATGTTCAAAAAATGAACTTGCTTTTATTTAAAGTTGACATATCCACAAACGCAATTATTTCTAACTATTACTTCAACATGTGTCTGGTCCTATTTTTTATATAACCTTATTTTCAAATTGTGGCTGCTGTTTCCGGAATCATTCAAATTGTGGGCGTGCGTGAGTGCCGTTGCATCACGGAAACAGTCAATAGAAATACAAGTGATCACGTTTTTCTGAATAACAAATTGAACTAGCAACATCACATCTTTTTCAGACGAACATTAAAAAGTAAATGGCTATTTTTTGTTGTTGTTAACGTTGTGTATTTTAAGCGACTTTAATCAAATCAAGTGCGTGTTATGTAATGGAGAAAATAGAATGAATAGACACTGGGCGATGTCTGCTTTCATATAGTCAACACCCAGACATAGGTGCTGTATCACCGTTGCCCCTTATATTTGTAACTTTATCACATACACAACAAGCACATGTTGCTTTAAACATTGATAGGTTACGCAAGTCTATTGACGGGCTACCGCAATTAATAAGTGCTCTGCTAGGGAGAATATCTGGGTCTGTTTGTCGTAGGTAGGGGGAGTATCCGAGGGGTGGGCTTGTTTACCCGAGCCAGCTGCAGGTGTTCTTCAGGTAAGATTTTGGAAGGAACAAGGTTATCAGTGGATGGTACTAGAGCGATTTGTACACACAGTCGAGGTGACTCTTTGAACAACCAGTCCCTTTATATGTATTTTTGTCAAGCTCTGAGTTGTAATTTAAAACTAAAACGTTAAAGGCATCAGGTGTTCTGACTTAAAAATCAGAAACAATTCTGATACCATTCGCATTAGCGATGTTTTTTTTTTTTTTTTTTTAAGTCATTAATTAATTAAAATTGTTCAGAATTGTGTCTTTCCAAACATTCCAGTTACTTAAGAAGTAATGTCCTATAGGTTGTCAATTTAAAAGTGGGTAGGTGTTTTAGAAACACATAATGATGTGGGGTTTAAAAAAAAACCTGAACACAAATGTCTAGAGGAAACTAGTGCTCTCTTGTGATACACAGACTGTAGTGTACCAGAGTGTGTTACAGTACACAGTTCAGCACTGATTCTTATACACAGCCAAGCAGTTACCTACGTACACACGCAAACAATATAACACTCGAGTCTTCAACTTCCAGCCCAAGAAGACATCCGAGTTCAACGAATCCTCTTTCTTTATACTATAGTGTCAAATAAAATAAAAATGCACCAGTAGGCAGCTTCCGCGCCAAATAACTTTATGACGTTTCCGTTTGTGTTCTGAGAGACGCCGGTATAAAACGATCACATATACGGTTCCATATGAAGAACACAGAAGTATTTATAGTTATCATATTATTAATGACAAACCAATTTCCTTTGACATCGGCGTATTGACTTCCCGTGAAAGGAAAATGTAAAGGATTATTAAGAAAGTAACTGTCAACTTGGAGCTATAAATGTTAGAACAACTTGTGTGGTATAATGTTACTTCTTGTTTCAATCAAATATTTACGACTAAAAGCTTGTTTTCGTTACACTTTAAGAGACCTAATGTGTCTGACTGCATCAGATAAGCTTCAATCGTTTAGTGAATATGTAAATTTGATCGATCACCTGCACTTTAAAAGCAAAATGAAAGAAAAAACCAATTAAATTTCTAAAGTTGTGATCAATTCCTTGATTTGTTTTACTTTTGAGGGCAATAAATTGTTTTTTGCGATGAAAAATTCAAAATTCTGTATCGGAGATAATCAACTGCTGAGCACTATAACATAGATCTTTGAATAATTGATAACGTTCGATTTTTAGGATACAAAGAAGTGGAATTGAGATCAAAGCAAAGCGTCGTGTGCAGCTCGCGTTAACCAAGCTACTGATGGGAGGGAGAATCGCATGTCAGTACTCGGTTGTCACGGTTCAAACATAATAAAGAACCTCATTTGAAAGTCTAATGATTCTATAAATAATGTAGGTGCAGTAACATGGCCGATTCTTACGTTATCATACAGGTAGTACTTTTAAAGTGGGAAAGGTGTATTTGCATGAAAATGTATGTCTATCAGTCCATTACACTTCCATTCTGGTCAGTTCATCTCATGTGAATAAACATGTGTTGTGTCTAGGCGTCTATCGTTTGTTTGTCTGTCTGTTTGTCTGTCTCCGGTCCGCTCTGGCCATTGGATGGTATAACGCATGAAAGGAGGGCTTTCAAGTTGATTGATTTTGTTAACATTTTCCAATATATAAGTAAGATAATTGATCTAGATATAAATGGGAAAATAATATAACAAACAAATATCAAATTTGAAGTGAAAATTATTTCCAAAATTTTCTAGATGTTTTGTAAAGAATTTTAATCCATGAAAATGACAAAATACATACATCAGGCATTCGGACAAGGTGTGTATTTTAAAAGATATACTGCAGAGTTATTCATAGGAAAAGTATGAAATGTACACCTCCCTACGTCTACGTACATGTATGTGGTGTACATACAAATTCGTTTGGCAGACTGAATTTAAGATGGAAATCGAAGTGTGGATATTTCCCTTCTTCCTTTAGTGTATCATTATCGGCCTATAGCATTTACACGCCCAAAGTAAAACAGCCATTATCGTAAATACGCGGACGCAGGATTAACTTTTGTAAAGAGTTTAGCAAAGCAATTTATTGCTCGCCAACCCTATACGTTTTGGAGTTAATGTATAGTTAGCCTAATTGTATACTACCGCTAAATGCATCGCTAATTGGCTATCGGGATTGTACACATTCTCGTCTGTTTTATTTAGACTCAATTTGCCCGGTGACCCGACGAGATTTAATGAGAAAGCGTTCGGTTATAAAACATTGCTCACGTCAGGGGGAAAACTTCGTAGAAGAAATGGGTCTAAAAATGCCATTTGTTGCTTTCTGTTCTCGTGTAGGCTCTGGAGCCTGTAAGTTCACCGGATATCCTTAAAACCGTTGTCGTATTGATCATTATACGAGTAGATCAGAATGTATTAAATAAATAGCTTAAGTATATTCTGTACGTCTTGATCAAGAATTATTTTAATGGAACTCGTTAAATGAATATAAGGATGTTTGTTAATGTGTTAGCTTTGTAACTGATAAATAAACTAAACGACCTTCGTGCTATTCAAGGCTAACTCTTAATAACAATCAAAGTATAGCTCAGTGGTAAGTGGGATCGGTTTTCAACCGCGAGGGTGTGACTGATGTTGTTTCTCGTCGTTATTACATTTTGATACAGATATCTAAGGTTAAAAAACTCTTGCTATTACCAGCAAAGAAGAGTGTCTCTATGAAACACATCCTATACCAGTGAAACATTTGACAAATCATTTAAAACAAAATTTAGACATTCGCAAACTGGACAGTTCCCATTAAATCTGATACTCAATGATTTAAAAAACGATATCTGGTTAAAAGGTAAAACAAAAGAAGCCAGATCTACATTCATTTCACTTAAGTTTTGACTACATGCACTTCTCTGTTAAATTATTTAAGTTCCTATTAAAAAAAAAAATAACGTGGGCGTTTGAAAAAGGCAGATAACCTTTCAAACGTGGCAATAATAGCCACAGATGGTCATCAGCCTGTACATAAACGAGTGACAATACCCTGTATTTGAGATAACTCTAAAAATGGCTTCAATAGTGAAACACGCTATATCTGTACGAAACATGACAATCGTTACATGGTGCCACCTTTTTACCAGAACAGGTGTTACAAGAATACGTGTGAGTAGGGACTTTTTACAAAGCTAAAACTGTTGAGTTGAGAAAAGTCAACTCGGTGCACTTTGGTGGTCAACTTTTTTTAGTTAATGTCTTTGACAATAGAATTATTATCAAAATGTACACAGGTAAATATAGGTGAGATAAAGTCCTCACAAGCCTTTACTCCTGGGTATTCAATCGGTTTTTGAAAAGGTATTTTAAATCTATAAGTTCAAGTAAACACGCCAACGTGGGTTTGTTAAAAAAAGCTCAATACACCGTCGATGAAACGGCGGTGACTTCGCAGGTGTTTCGGTTTAAAACAGCTGACAT